TAAGTGACAGAGTACTAGTGTCACCTGTTTGAATGCCGGTGGAGTGACCCAGTAAAGATGCACGTCGGATGGCCTGGGCGAGGGTGAGAAGGATCATGGAGTGGTGTCCTTGAGTAATCCAGGGACACGGGACCTAGGGCAGAAGTGCAGGGGTTGGCCTTGGGTCGGGTGCAAGCCGAGCACACCTGGTGACAGGAGGGAAGGCAGGATGTGGTGCAGATGCTGGTGAGGGCTTGCGGAAGGTCTCTTCTGATTGCTTCTGCTTTCCAAGAGAAGGAAGAAGCAGGGTCACTGGCCAAGAGTGAGCAGAGGGAGGAGGTGGTGGAGGTCTGGGGAGAAAGCAGAAGGTACGGGATGGTGGTGTTAAGAGATGGGAGGACTGGAAAATTGAGATGGGGGGGGGTGGACAGCACTGGGAGCCACTTGAGGCTGTGATGTGAACTTGGAGTGAGAACAGCAACTCCTTTGCTCGTCCCCTCTGGCCACATTTGGTTGTGTGGGGAGCATGTGCAGTAGAGTTAAAACCAGGTTGGTTTGGCCAGAAGTATGACAGTTTCCAGAGAGGAGCAAGGGAGTAGAAGCAGGGAAGATCAAAGGGGTAAGCAGAGGAGTGTAGAGGCAAAAAATAAACTAGTTAATATACAAATTATGATTCTGCTACATGTATCATGTCTGCCAAGGGGGTGGAATTAGAAGACGTTAGCCTGAGGGATGCAGGAAGAAGAGAGGGACAGGAACCACTGAGCGGCAGGCCATCTGGTGTAACCTGGAGTTAGGAAGGCCACCCACCGCCTGTGCTCCTCACCAGCCACTGGACCCTGCCTGGAACTTTGAGGGATGAGGAAATTACAGCTGAGAGAGGTTCTCGAGGAAAATTGGATATGCTAAGATTTAGGTCTTTTTTGGTGACCATTCGATTATTCTTATGAAAAAAAATTTAACTCTTATTTCCTTAGAATACATACTTGAGATTCCTGCTTTTAGAGGTCATAAGCTTGTATTTGATCATTTGTTCTTTTTTATTTTAACAGCTCTATTGAGATAATCCACATAATACAAGTACCTATTTCGTGTACAATTCAGTGTTCTTTAGTATGTTAACAGAGTTGTGCAGCCATCACCATAATCAATTTTAGAATGTTTTTATCACTCCAAAGAGACTCTGTACCTAAGAGCAGTCACCTGCCAGTTCCTAGGCAACCATTCATTTACTTTTGGTCTCAGAGCTGCCTATTCTGGACATTTCATGTAAATGGAATCATAAAATATGTGGTCTTTTGTGATTGACTTCTTTCACTCAGCTACTGTTTTTCAAGGTTCATCCATGTTGTAATGTGCATCAATTCTTCACTTTTATTGCCAAATGTATAGATATATCACATTTTCTTTATCCATTCATCAATTGATGGACATTTGGATTCTATGCCTTGGCTGTTATGAATGATGCTGCCCTGAACATTCCTGCACAAGTTTCGGTGTAGATGGAAGTTTTCATTTCTCTTGGTTATATAACTAGGAGTAGAATTGCTGGGTCACATGATAACTCTCTGTTGAACCTTTTGAAGAACTGCCAGATTGTTTTCCAAAGTGACTCTATACTTTTACGTTCTCATCAGTAATGTTCCAGTTTCTCCACGTCTTCACCAACACTTGTTATTATCGGACTTTTCATGATAGCCATCCCGGTGGATATGCAGTGTTTTCTCACAGTGGTTTTGATTTACGTTTCCCTGTTGGCTAACGACGAGCACCTTTTCCTGTACTTATTATCCATTTGTTGATCTTCTTTAGAGGAATGTCTATTTAAATGCACTGCTCCTTTTTAGTTGGGTTATTTGTCTTTTTATTATTGAGTTGTGTGAATTCTCCATATATTCTGGTTACAAATCCCTTTTCAGATATATCATTTGTAAATATTTTCTCCCATTCTGTGAATTATCTTTTCATTTTCTTGGTGATGTTTTTCTTCAAAGCATCCTGCAATTGTCCTTTATTTTAAAAATCTTTAATTTTTAAAATTATGTAAGGAATACATGCACATCAAGAAAAATTAGAAAATTTTGAGTGATGCTCAAAAATAAAAGGAATAAACAAAACATTTATAATGCTGTCATTCAGAGGTAATTGCTATGAATATTTGGGGTTTGGTCCTTTTACTTAAAATGAAATCACACTATTCATTTATTAACCTTTTATTAATCTCATCAGTTGTGAATAGCTTTCTGTGTCAATAAATCTATTTCAATTGCATCATTTTTTATGTTGCATAACACTTAATCACGTGGATGTTCAGTTTACCCAAACAGTTCATTATTGTTGGATACTTAAATTGTTTCCAATTTTTTACTATTATAAATGAAGTTAAATCTCTATGCATATCTACGATTACTGTCTTCAGATAGATTTCTAGGACAGGTTGATGGGTCAAAGTATGTGTACACTTTTAAGGCTGAGGAAACATGCAGCCAAATGGCCTTCTGGAAAAGACTATGGCCAGCTATGCAACCACTGGCAGTTTGTGAGAGAGCCAGCCCTTGGCCAAGAAGCTAACCTGGTCCGTATCAAAGAAACAACAATATCATGATCACTGATATCAGTAAATACTGACATTGCACTTATGTGCTAGGCACTGTTCTAAGCTCTTTATTCCTATTGACTCATTTATTTCTCACCATAATTCTATCAAATTGGTACTATTATTTGTTCATTTTATAGATTACTAAGGCACAGTGAGGTTAAGTAGTTATCCAAGGTCACACAGCTAGGAGGGGCAGGATTTGAACTCTGCTAGTCTGGCTCCCAAGTCGTAGCTCCCAACCACCCTGATTTATTGCCTTTTTATATCCACATCACATGAAAATTATTGGCAGAGGCAGCCCTATGTACAAAAGCATCGGACTCTTGGTTTTGGCTCAGGTTGTGGTCTCAGGGTCATGAGATAGAGTCCTGGTGTCTCCCCAACCCTTAAATAAATGAATGAATGAATGAATGAATGAATGAATGAATGAATCTTTTTAAAAAAGGGCCAGAGAGTAAATATATTAGGTTTGGGGGACCTAAGGTCTCTGCCTCAATTACTCAACTCTGCTGTTGTAGCTGAGAAGACACCACACACTGTATTTAAATTACAAAAGCAGGTGGCCGGCCAGTGAGCAATAGTTTGCAGATTTCTGTTATAGATGATCATGTGGGTTTTCTCTCCTTAATCAGTATGTTGAGCCACTCCTGCATTCTGGAATAATCCAGCTTGACCATGGCACATCTACTGCTGTAATCTATTAGTATCTTGATGTCTCTATTCAGGAATGGGATTAATGTGTGTGTATGTGTGTGTGTGTGTAATAAAGAATGATTTATTCTTTGAAAGACTGATAGAACTTTGTTCCAAAGGAACCATCTTGACTGATGTCTGTTTTGGAGGTACTTTCTTCGAGCGCTCTTTCACTTTCAGGGTTACTGATCTCTTCATGTTTTCTATTACTTTGGAATCGATTTTGGGAATTTGTACTCTTCTAGAAGATATCCCGCTTCATCTACATTTTCTGTTTTGTCACTGATTTGGTGGTAGTAAATCTCTTAATATTTTCTTTTTTTTTTTTTTAATTTTATTTATTTATTTGACAGAGAGAGAGATAGCGAGAGAGGGAATACCAGCAGGGGGAGTGGGAGAAGGAGAAGCAGGCTTCCCACAGAGTAGGGAGCCCGATGCTGGCCTCGATCCCAGGACCCTGGGATCATGACCTGAGCCAAAGGCAGACGCTTAACGACTGAGCTATCCAGGAGCCCCAATCTCTTAATATTTTCATTCTCCCCGTAATATCTTTCTATTTGATCTTTCTCATTCCTAATGGTGTATCTGCTTCTAGACATTAGATTTGATAAATGTTTATTTTATTGGTCTTTTGAAAGTTTGCTCTGAGATTTAATTATCATTTAGAATACTCTTCTCCTTTCTAATATATTAATTTCTACTTATCATTGTCAAATTTTGGTCTTCCTGTTTTTCATTTTGTAATTTCTTGAGCTACCAGATGATATATTTTCATTCTTCTTGTATAAAAGCAAGAGCACTTAAGACTGATTTTTTCCTTGAGGACAGATTTGCTCTAACCCACAAATTTGGGGGCAGAACCCTCTCACTGTTGGTATTAGCTCAGTATCTATGATTTTAGTTTGGTTTTCTCTTTGACCCAGGAGGGTTTAAAAAGTGGGCGTTTAAATTTCTAAAAGGTTGAGATTTTTTAATTCTTAAATTTCTCATTAGTTTCTAGTTTACTGCATTATGGTCAGAGAATGTGACTGATATGGGTTTATCTTGGATTTATTGAGATTTGCTTGTGGCTTTTAATTTTTTCTAAGTGTTCCAATGGTGCTGGAAAAGAAGGTGTATTTTCTGTTGTTAGAGCATGTTTGTCCACTTAACTGACATTGTTAGTGGTACTATTCAGATTCTCTGTCTTCATACTCCTTTTATTTTTTTTTAAATTTACTTGGTTTTTCAAGATTGTGGGAAGTGTAACAAGTGTCCCACAACAGTGTGCTTCTGTTATTTCTTTGGACAGAACACACTGGTTGGTTGCCTATTTGTGCCTGACTCTGAGCCTGAATCATAAACTCAAATCTCTAAGTATCTGGGCTGGGGAAGAGAAGAAAGACTTAGGAGGGATTAGCTAAATTGGTTTCCAGTCTAACCATTTCAACCTGTGTGCACATATGTGCCTGCGTGTTAGTGTGTGTGCTTTTGTGGGGTATATGTGCATTGCAGTATAAACATCTCTCTTGGGCATGTCTGTGTAAATATATTTTTCTGTGTTATGTGTTTAATATATATGCCTGCATATGTTTATTCACCCATGGCATCTTTTTCTTTAAATTGATCTTAAAATATTAGGGCTAGGGTCAGCCTTGCTCTATGCTGGCTTTTTCTAGAGTGGTTACAAGCCAGGAAGCTCTGCTACACTGTTTATTAACCCATCTGAATGGCTTTTCCTCTCCTCTAGCTGCTGAAGAACCTCCTGGTAAGTTGGTCCGACAATGACTGTAGACTCAGCCTTACTCTGGGACCCACGCTCTGTGCTGTGTGTCTGGGGATCACATTCTGGCCACACAATGGGTGTTAGGGCTGCACTACCAGGATGGGTGGAGACTCTGAGAGCCTCATCCTATGTTTTCCCCATTGTGTTTGTTCAGGCACCCTTGGCCTGGTTCCAGCTGCTCCTCACCCTTAATAAGCCCGAACTCAAAGGACTGAGCATTAGTTTAAAAGGAGCCGCCAGCATTTCCAGAAACTCAGTGATAGACATTCAGTTGACTTTATAGTATCAGAGCAGATTTTGGGAGATCTCCTAGCACACCCTCTCATACAGAGGAGCCTCTGCCTCGCAGCGTCGAGCAGGTGTTCAAACCTTTCTTCTGGTCTGGTCTGCGCAGCCTGCCCCTGAGCGGTGGGGAGTTCCAGCTGTCTGCTCCCTTGAACTCACCCGACAGGAGAGCTCTGAAGTCCAGGCCGGCCCATTGGCCTTGCTAGGTGCCTGATCCAGAAGGGTCTTGCTTGGTAAGTTCTGTTTCTGAGGTGATCTATTTCTTTCTACCCACTCAGGAGGAGGAGTTCATCGACTGGTGGAGCAAATTCTTCGCCTCCACAGGGGAGAGGGAGAAGTGCGGCTCATACTTGGAGAAGGGCTTTGACACTCTAAAGGTGAGGCCTTTTCACAGTGTGCTCTTCAGTCTAACAGCCCCTGGGCACGCACGAAGGATAGCGGGGGTGCCACAGGAAGACAAAACGTGTACACATATGTCACCTTTGAATATATGTGTGTATCTCCTCATTCGGTGCCTGAGGGCTGATGAGTCCTGATGAGCTAATTGAGGCGAGAAAGGTTACCCACCGATTTAGAGCAAGAAGTCAGTGTGGGCTGGGGTAACCAAGAAAGTATTTTGGGAAGAATGTTGAAAAATACTGAAGTATTTATGGGTGAAATCATGCCTGGCCTGGGAGTTGTTTTAAAATGCTAAAAAAAAAAGAAAGAAAAAGAAAAAGAAAAGAAGGAAAGGAAAGAAAAATAAACAGGAATATAGATGATGTGAGTGACCCTCTGATAGATTTTCAAAATATTAAAAATTATGAGAATTGCAAAATATTGAAAATTGTTAAAGCTTGGAGGTGGTACTTAGGGATTTGTTATATTATTCTGTTTCTTTTAAAGTTATTTGAACTTTTCTATAATAAAAAATTTGTGTTAAAATAAAAAGGAAAGTCAGTTTGAGAATGTAGCTCTGATTCCTTCACCCCTACAATTGGGACAGAAATTGCCTAGCAAATATAAAAATATGGCAAGCTTTGTTTCTGTGAAAAAAGAAAAGAAAAGAAACCCCCCAACCCCCCAAGGCCAACCAAACAAACAAAAACAAAGCCAGGGATGAGTCAGCCAAATTCTGGTATTTTGAGGAAATTCCACAAATACAATTATGCTTTTTAAAAGTAGACTGCTTTTTAAAAAGATAACCAGAGGTGACTCAAAGTTACACCCCAAAGGAGTTGTAGAGGTCCTGGAGAGGTTGCCAAATACATTCAGGATGTATCGAATTGCAGATAAACAAGGAATAATATTTTAGTAGAAGGATCTTATATAATTGTTAGATAAGTATGTCTTAGGCCTCAGATATTGCATGAGACTTACCTAATGAAATTGTTTGTTACTTATTTGAAATTCAAATTTGAGTGGGTGTCCTGTATTTTGCCTTGCTTTATCTGGCAAGCCTGCTTAGAGAAAGTATGCAAAGGCTGTTGGATGCAGGGGAGGGGCCCAAGGAGCATCCCAAATGGGACTGGCTGAGTGGGATTTGAGGCCAGTGGGAGTGGTGGGTGGTCTGGGCTTTCAGGTCATTCTGCTGGCTGAAAGCCCTGGCTGGCCACTCTGGAGGGTGATTCTACCAGGTGGCTAAGAGTTGTCTCTGATGCACTGGGGGCCTCTGGGTGAGTTGTGTCTGGAGGCCTGGATGTGCAGAGACAAGGGGAGCCATGGCCCCAAAGACACAGGCCTCCTTAGGCAGCAAGTTCTTCGCTGACTTGCAGTTGGGTGTGTGAGGCTGGGCAAAGAGACTGAACTATCTGTGTGCCAGGAAGAAGGTCCGACACATTAGGTCTGGCATGTGGTACTGTGGCTATGCCAGAAAATGAGAGAAACCAAGAATGAGGACTCCTGCCAGTGAGGCCCATGGCCCTGGCCCCCCTCCTTGCTGCTCCCTCAGATGCCGGACATGGAACTGGCATCCTGCCCTCCAGCCTGACCTCTCCGAGGAGATCTCTGACAGTGTCCAAGTGAACATGGACCATCCCAAACAAGATGCATTCAACCTGTTTCTGGGGGAAAAAACCAGACCTGGAAGGAACACTAGTCCTTTAAGGATAAGTAAATAGAAGAAAACCACCACCACTACCATGAGTTTTTGAAAAATAGCCTGTAGCATTATGGAGAGAACGGAGAACACGGAGAACATGATGGGTAGAGGAAAAAAACATATTTGGAAATTACTAGCCTGGGGGAAATATACAATTCACAGTGTCAGTAGCAAAAGATAGAAAAGCAAAAGATACAAACAAGAAAGCATAAAAAACAGAAATCATAGTAAAATACAACAGAAAGAGAATATATATATTTGTTTTCCTAAAAAATGAAAATGTATTAAGCTTCTCTATTGAGTGATAAGGACCCTTAGACTATATAAAATTCAAAATTCATTAGACTGTCCTTAAGAGGTAGGTCTAAAACAGTACAGCGTAGAATATCTAAAAAATAAATATTTTGGCACACAAAATAAGGTGAGTGCCAATAAAAGAGAAACAGATAATTTAAAAAGCAAAGGAAACAAAATGGCATGTTTTATATAAATAAAAGATCCATGTCTCAATGAGAAAATGCCCAAATATTCCTGTACAGGACAATAAAGCTTAGAAATATTTAAAGCAAAAATGGGAGGAAGATGTAAACTCATACCTCACCCAAATAAAAGCAAGAAATGAGAGAAATTAAAGTTGCAGTAGGGATTTTAATTTACCTCTCTCCTAGGCCGATGAATCAGAAAGTAAATAAATAAGGAAAGAAAAGGTCTGAATAAAAAGGTAAAATATTTTTTAAGTTACATCAAAAGTAGCTTTAAAATAGAGAATAAAAATAATTAAAAAAAATAGAGAATATGTTTTTTCCTAATACTCAGAGAATATTTACCAAATTTGATCACATATTAGTTTAGCAGTAAATTACAAAAAGCAGAAATCATACAAGACAGATTAAAATGCAATAAAATGAGAAATTAATAACAAAAGTTTAAACAAAAAGACCAACCACTTGGAAATTTAAAAAGTATTTTATTGAGACTTCCAGTATGAACATGGCTGCATAAGTCAGCATATTTCCCCTTTTCTTCTGGAAATCATTCAAACCCACAAACTCCATTTTCAGTAAAAGTTGGAAACAAATAAAACCCGCAGACTCCAAAATACATGTAAGGGCTGTCCAAAGGCAACCAAGATTGGGTAGAAGCCACTCGGCAGTAAATGAAGAGAAAATGATGAAAGGTCATAGTGGTAGCTGATCTCAGAAAACCCCATCCTTCCTAATAGAAGAATGTTGAGAATTATTGAAAACAGGTTATAGGCACATGGGTGCTTATTATCTATTACCTTTCCTTTGTGTGTGCTTGGAAACTTTCATAATAAGTAGTTAAAAAATAGTCCTGAAGTTGAGTTTCACCATAAAATATAGAAGTGATCTGCCTCATTCACAACAGTGGATATGGGAACTTTGGAGTCAGGTTCAGGCTGGCGACAAATGCTTCTCAGACTTGGTCTGGTTCAGAGAAGCGGAGAAGGTAAAGCCACATAAGAATCACATAGATGAGCCATATTTGCAGGAAGCAGTCTGCCTCTGTGGTCAGAACAAAGGAAGTAATGGGGCTAGGATAATCCAGCCCATTTAGCGACAAGTAATCATAAAAGAACTATCAGGGCATTAATTCAAAAATACCATGAAAAAAAGAAAATGTAAATCAAAACTTAGCCAAAAGAAGAGGATATATATACCCACCAGAAAAATTTTGCCAAGGAGCAGATGAGATGAAATACTTTGCTGTGAGCTTTACAGAGGTGGAACAGTCAGAATCAAGGCAGAAATGAAAGAACTCAAGGGATGATGAGATGAGAAGAGATGAACTGTGAACTCGTAGGATTCAGGAAAAGAGGATCACATGGAAATGGAAGAAGCGCAGGGCAGAATGGCCACTTTGGAAAACACAGAAAGGGGACAGAGGACAGAAATGATGAAAGTCAGCAAAATGCTATGGAAATAAAAAACCAGAGGTATAAAACAGTAAAGAGAAAATGACAGACCTAGGAGTCAGGGAAAGGAGATCCAACACTCGCATAATTGGAGTCTCTGAGAAAGACAACCAAAACGATGAAATACAACAAATAGACATTGAAGAGTTTAATGGAATGTCACCAGCATTGTCAGAAAAATACCTGAATATACATACTACAAGGTCCACTGGGTGTCAGGGAAAATTGACCCAGATTCGTCAACCCTGAGACATACCCTAGTATATGTTATTGGACTTTAGAGCTAAAGAATTTTTGTGGTAGTCATACTTTCTTCTCCTCCAAAACGTTAAGTCCTTTAAAGTAGGAAATAAGACAAGGTGGCTTCAGTTTCTCCACAACAACATTTCATACCTGAAGACAGTAAAGCACCATGTGTAAGATCATCAAGGAGAGAAAAGGGGGCCCAGGATTTGTGTTCAGCCCAGCTGCCCCTCGGGCACGACAGCTATAAACACACAGGGTGCATATTCAGGAACTGGGGATACGGGTCCCATGCCCCCATCTTGAGGAGCTCCGAGGGAATGAACTTAGTCAATTAGGAGGTAACTGGGAAGGCCAGAATGAAGGGACTGATTGTGATCATATTTTACCTTAGACTCCCAATGAAAATAAATGGAAGGATTAGGGTAACATGACAGAATGTAAATATATACAGTGAAAATATGGAAGTGACAAAACTGGCAAAAATTAGGCACAGGGGTGCCTGGGTGGCTCAGTCGGTTAAGCGGCTGCCTTCAGCTCAGGTCATGATCCCAGGGTCCTAGGATTGAGCCCTGCATCGTGCTCCCTTCTGGACTGGGAGGCTGCTTCTCCCTCTGCCCTTTCCCCCACCTGTTCTCTCTCTCTCTCTCTCTCTCTCTCTCAAATAAATAAATAAAATCTTTAAAAAAATTAGGCACAGAAGGAGGAAAGATGATAGGATACAGAGTAAGAACATGGATTGCCATATTATGGAATAGATAGAGTTGACAGTATTTAAAATTGGCAAATCAAATAAGAGGAGTATAAGCAAATTATAAGTAAATAGTACAGATTAAATATTAAGGAAGACAATGCTGTCTAAAACTGAGTGAGGGAGAGGGAGTGGGAGGGAGATAAAATTCCATCATTTTATCATTGCTATAGTAGGGAACTCTTAAATACTGTCCCTAGATACATACAGGACTTAGAGAATTATTTGTATATATAAATTTATAATAACATTAGAATATGAACTCAGCTTATCAGAAACACACACACACAGAAAACAGACCATGCAGGCAAAGATGTAAAAAAAAAAATCAAAATTAGAAAATGTAACATAAACATATTATATGACTATGTAAATATAACATAAATATAAACCCAGATCAAACATATCTGTCATATCAATGCATGTCATATCAATCACTCATTAATTACAAAACTTAAATCAGATCTCAAAGCAAAATCTAACTCCAAAATAAAGAGATTCATGAAGGTTGAAAATGAAAGATTGTGAAAATGTGTGCCCGGCAAATGCAAATGAAAAGAAAGTAGAAGTCACCGTCTTTTTTTTTAGATGAGACTGGATTCAGGTCCCCCAAATTATTTAAATGAGACAAAGAATGATGCTTACCACATTAAACCGTGCAATTCCACAAGATAATACATATGTTAGGAGAATACCTATGTTATGAGAATACCTATGTGCTGAATAATACAACATCAATATTTACAAAACAGAAATTATAGGAGATACAGGAAAGAAATAGTAGGTAGGGGGAGATTATTTTTCTGTCCTCTTGGTTCATGTCAGGGTCGAGGGAACACAAACATTAAGAAGATAGAGAAAAGCAGCATAGTTGTTCACCTGGCTGAACCCTGTAGCCTGAAAACAGAGGCACAGTTCCAGAGATGGACCATGTAACAGGCCCTGTAGAGAACTTTAATACAATTCAAAAAGTGGCCAACTACTGACAATGTTTTTTGATTATAATGCCATAAAGTGAGAACCTAATAACAAAATCAAAAGCCCGAAAGTTCTCTCCTATCTAGAAAATTAAAAAAAAAAAAACCCACAAAAGACAACAAACCTCTCTTTTCACAGTTCTTGGCAAAAGAAAAAACGCAAACTCAAATTGCAGAATATCTGGGAAACAAGGATAAAATGCTACATATTAGAACTCGCTAGTTATAGCTAAAGCAGCATTCAGAGGAAGTTTATAGCCTTAAAAGCTTACCTTAATTAAAACAAAAGAATGAAAAACAAGCATCTAGCTCTTGGATCAAAGAATAAAAATAAAACTGTAATTGTGGCATGCCAAGAGAATGAATATGATAACATTACAATCAAAACAAATGGGACCGTGTGCCAAGGCAGTAGTAAGCGGGACAATTTCATAGCAATAAGCGTTTTCCTTATCAGAATAGAGGGAGCAAAGTAAATAAAGCTTCAACTGAAGAAGTTATAAAGAATAAAAAAAAAACCCTTTGACGCAGTGGGAAGAACAAAATAATAAAAATAAAAGCAGAAATAAGAACCTGGAACAGAGGAAATGGCCAAATTGACAAATGAGGGAACTGTCCTTTGAAATGATTAAACTATATAAACAGATCAAGAACATACTCAAAAAAACAAAACAAAACAAAACAGAACGTACTCAAAATGGTACCTATCAAATATAAACCAAATAACTAGTTGTTATTTTGAGACTCAAAATGCAAGGCAATAATAACATTTTCTTTATATTTACTCATATTTTCTAATTTTTAATAATGAACCTGCCTCACTTGCATCATTAATTGTTTCTTGGAAGGGACAGAACTGGGGCTAGGCCTAAATGAGGAATAACACTTAGCAGTACGACAAGGGAACTGACCTGGAGCGTCTTGGCTGTCAGTTTCAGGTGTAACTAACTTAGCATGTATATTAAGTTTTTAATATCACTGTTAGGTACATTTTATTACCTATAATAGAAAACTGCTGCTTTAGTTAAGCCTAAGCAATTCCAAAGCATGCCTCTAACAAAGAGAAGTCAGTGGGTTTTTGAGAGGAATGGGATAGATACATTGAGTTCGCAAATTTAAAGTAGTGCTCAGAAGGCAGCCACAGCCCGGTGTTTGGTACCACGGGTCGCCTGGCTGTCCTGGACAGGGAGCATTTGTGGCTTGAAACACAGACCTATAAATTTTCCAGAGTTCTGTCTCAATCTTCAAATAAAATGTCAATTAACTTTTCATTTGTTTGTTTGGTTTTATTCTCTTAAAAAAATACACCAGCCGGGTACGTGATGACTCCTAGATACCTAGAATGTTGGATTCACCAGAAAACTGTTCCCTAATGGTGCTGAAACATGTCTTCCCCACTTCCCCCCTCTCCTGCCCCTCCTGTCCCCTACCTTCCTCTCCCTTTCCTCTCCACTCTTTGCGTCCTTTTAATCTCCACCTGGGTCCTGTCCCCCTCTGTCCTCTCTGTTCTTGGCCACTCTCCCCTTCCCCTCTGCTACCTGCCTTTGCCTCTCTAATTTGCATGCGGCCTTTCCCCTCCTTTTCTTCTCTGTGCCTCGTCCATCCTCACTTGAATACTGTCTTGTTTCCTCTTCCTTGGCTGGCCCTCTCCTTTCTCTCTTTCCCTCCTCCCCTTTTCTTGTCCCCACGTGTGGCAGGTCTACGACACGCAACTGGAGAACGTGGAGGCCTTTGAGGGTCTGTCTGACTTTTGTAACACCTTCAAGCTCTACCGGGGCAAGACTCAGGAGGAAACGGAGGACCCATCTGTTATTGGGGAGTTTAAGGTACGTCCTTGAGGACGTGTCCCTACCTGGGAGGCCTGAGACTATGAAGTGGCAGCCATAAGTGAAGGGGGCGGGAGCAGGGCTCCTGTAGTAACTATAGTAATGAGCATGGTGTTGATGTTGGCACATGGTGACTGTGTGGGTGATGCCGCCAATGCAGAATCTGATGGTGGTGAAGAGATGGCAGTGGGCTTGGTGGTCTCAGGTGTGATGACTGACAGAGATGACGGTAATGGTCATGATGGTGGTGGTGTTGGTGATGATGATGGTGAATGTGTTGGCCCCTCATTCTTTTCAGGGCCTCTTCAAAATCTACCCCCTCCCAGAAGACCCGGCCGTCCCCATGCCCCCAAGACAGTTCCACCAGCTGGCCGCCCAGGGGCCTCAGGAGTGCCTGGTCCGCATCTACATCATCCGAGCATTTGGCCTGCAGCCCAAGGACCCCAATGGGAAGGTAACATTCCTGGAGCTCTCAGCTCTCCCAGAATGGCAGGCTGGGGCACAAACGGGCTGCAGAATCTGGACACAGCTCTCCCCCAGGGAGTTCACAGTAAGCCTCGGAAACCAGCCAAACACACCCAGCACTGAGAGAGGAGACTGGATGCAGTTCGGTCAGGGGCCAAGTGCTCTAGGAGGTCAGAGAAGGCCAGGCAGTGCAAGACTTGGCAACCATGAGGAAGGCTTCGCAGAAGGAATAGGATTCTTAAGGATCGATGGAGTTCTGGTAGGCTAGGAGGGAGAAGAAAGTAGTATTTTAGGATGGGCCAAAAAACTTGGCAAGAGTTTGTGAGAAGACTGTTAGGCACGAGGATGAGACACAAGAGGAAGCGACATGGAAGGTGTGGGCCAGGGTTGGACGTCGTTGGGCTTCAGCTGGTGGGGGTGCGGGCAGGAGAGAAGGGGCTCGGTAATGGTGCTGTACCTAGCCGTGCTGGAGCCCGAGGCAGAAGGGAAAAGCAGTAATTCTGATCCTGTCCTTGTTTAAAATTTAGCATTTTGTTCATCAGGGCCTGTTGGCATTGACTTTAATTTTTTAAATATTACATTAGAATTTATCTTTTTTTTTTTTTAAAGATTTTATTTATTTTATTTGAGAAAGAGAGAATGAGAGAGAGCAAGCACATGAGAGGGGGGAGGGTCAGAGGGAGAAGCAGACTCCCTGCCGAGCAGGGAGCCCGATGCGGGACTCGATCCCGGGACTCCAGGATCATGACCTGAGCCGAAGGCAGTCGCTTAACCAACTGAGCCACCCAGGCGCCCCTAAAATTTGTTTATCTTCATTACTGAGTTTTGGGGGCACTCCCTCAAATTTTGTGCCTGAGGCAACTACCTCATTGCCTCACTCTGGTCCTGGCTCTGAGGCAAAGAAAGAACTTGCTGGAGGGCCGGAGTCTGGAGCTCTGGGGAGATGGCTGGGGAGGGGCAGAGAAAACTTGGAAAGAGAGAAAGAGGAAAGAAGAGGGACAGGCGGGGTTGACTGGAGTTCAGAGGTACGGGGCTGGGTCCTCTCTCATCCCCTGAGATGGGTACAGGCCTAGCATGTGTCCTTGAGGCTGTGGGTGAAGGTCTACTGTCCTATCCCTGGAGCCTGCTTTTCAGCATGAGAAGTCATAGCTGACCTTGCCCTGCTGGGAAGTCAAAGGGCAGAAAAGAGCCATCCCCAGCCCAGGCACCATGATGGCCTCCAAGATGTGGTGTGGCCAATGGTCTGTTCATGCACTTCAGGATTTCTTTTTTTCTTTTTTTTTTTTTAAAGCACTTCAGGATTTCTTTATGCCGTGACTGACCCTGAGCACTCTCTGATCCCAGCTGTTCCTGGAGGCATCTGGGGAAGGCCAGCCTGGGCTGGGTTAGGCTGATGAAGTCTGGCCATCTCTCTCCCTTTGATCTGTTGAAGCAGAGGTCACAGAGAGGACCCTAGCTGGCTCAGTCACATATATAATACAGGCTGTAGTGTTTCTGAGGATATGAGCCTTGCCCTCACCCACCTTCCCCCAGTGGGGCAGTGCTTTGGGAGTATGGAGGACTCAGGTTCCCCATTTCCACTGCTGGATCATGACCAGAAGTCCGTGTCAGGGCCAACTGGTGTGGTGGTGTGCAAGATGGGGCCCTTGGCCTGGCACCAGGGCAGGATGGCAGCTTCTTGATGGCTGGCCTCCTAGCCTCATGGGGAGGCAGAGGACTGAAGAAGCCTCGGAGATGTGTTGGGAAAGTGAATTCATTTAAGTCTTCCTGTCTCTTCCCTCAGTGTGATCCTTACATCAAGATCTCCATAGGGAAGAAATCCGTGAGTGACCAGGATAACTACATTCCCTGTACTCTGGAGCCTGTGTTTGGAAAGTAAGTTGGTGACAGCTTGGGTCTGGCGGGGAGGTACCAATCTGGATAACCCCCAGCCCTGGGCAGGGAGATGTGGCTGCCACTGGGAAGTGCCCAGTTCCTGAGGCAAAACTGTAGTCCCTACTCTTGCACGTCTGTAGGGGTGTAACCTCGGCTCGCTCTTCATCATGTGCTGAAGGCTGGAGTCCTGGCCGAAGCTCCTACTTAATCTCATAAACAGTTACCTCAAAGAGTGGAAATCTAAATGGAAACTCAGAGCCTGCATTTGCTAATTATTCTTTTTTTTTTTTTAAGATTAACTTTTACTTTAGAATAGTTTTAGATTTACAGAACAGCTGCAGAGAAAGCGCAATTTTTGTATATCCTTCACACTCCATTTCCCTCTTACCTACCCATGGTTCATTTTGTCAAAACTAAAACATCAATAGTGGTGCGTTACTATTTCTTACACTCTAGACTTTATTAGGATTTGGCTACTTTTCCCACTGATGTCTTTTTACTGTTCCAGAATCTCATCCAGGATACCATGTTGCGTTTAGTCATTGTCGTCTGTCATTGTTGCGTGTTCATCTTTCGCAGGTAGACAGAGGAAGAGAGTAAAATGCTTCTTGAAATCTAAGAACAAGGGGAGGAAGAATCCAGGCCCCTTGCATGGGCATAGCCCCCAGGCATCCTGAATTGCTTGCTGTCTGGATGTGAGCTTATTTAGGCTGGAGAAGGGAGAATCACAGAGGGAAGTTGGTAGCTCTTTCTCTAGCACCGGTGGGAGAAGGTGTATTGTTTCGATACTGTCAGGTGACCCCTTGAATTCTTAAACCAGTGTCTGTAGAGTTGGTTGTGGGCACTCAGGCCTGCGTCAGGGAGCCGGTCAGCCTGGAGAGTTGCCTGCCGTCCTGCCAGTGATGAGCCCGCGGCAAGCTGGAATGGGAGGGAAGTAGGTGGGGAGGGGCTCCCTTTGGTGAGTTCCAGTGGCCGGTGGCCGGCCTGAGGCCCCAGGCTCATGGTGACCCGGCAGTAGATTGGGCCTGTTTGGAGTGGGTGTGTGTGTCCGGCCCCAGGGCAAGGTGCGGGGAGTGAGGTCAGAACCTCTTTCTTTGTAGAACTCGTGTGCTGAACAAGCCCAGCTCAGGGAATGTAATGAGAACACAAGTTTGTTTTTGTTTTGTTTTTGTCTGCCTATATCCTGTAGACATTTCTTCCGTGGGGGTTACCTCCCTCATTTCTTGGGTGGAAACTGTGGCAGGCAGGTGACTTTTCTGCTTACTTTTAGACAGTCTGCTTTATCCTAAACCCAGTCTCAAGGTGCTAACCAGAATGCCCGTTCATGTGTACTCATGAACCTGACAGGCTCCATCTAGGATAGTCACCCCCTTTCCCAGCTGGGTCCACTTTGGGTGTAGCTGTGCGCGGCATGTGGATGTGTGTGCAGGGAAGGAGGGAGCTTTGCCTCTCTCCCTTTCCTGTCTAATGTCTCCCACCAACCCTCGACTAGCCATGAAGGTTCTGGGTCGTGCATGGCCAGGACTAGGGGACTAGGAGAGGAGAGCCCCATGTGCTCACTGCCTCTGTGTTTTCTGGGCACTCTCTGGGTGGCAAATGTTGAAAGCTGATTTATTGTCTTGTGAGTGCTTTCCAGAAAGCCCCTTTGAGCCCACCCACTGAAGCTCCAGGGAAGTGGTGGATGCCGCGGCCCTTTACTGATGGCCCTTTTCAGATGGGCCTCTCCATAGTCTCACGGCTGGAGCCCCAGGTCCCATGGGGTCGGATTCCAAGTGGCTCCCGTTCGGCCTCACGGTGGCCCAGCCAGGATAGGAGCGGTGTCGTCTCTCTCTCCGCCTCTCTGCGGCCAGCTGCTTTCTTTTCCTTGAGTACGAGTCAGGTGCCAGGCTTGTGCCTCCCACCTGCAGGGAACTCTTTCAGGGGAAAGGGGGCTATCCCTCCACACTTGACCTCAGAGGGGGGATGGGGGGTCTCAGAGCACAGCAGGAGCTCCCTCCAAAGAAATCTCTTCCCAAATCCTCTTTCCCACTCTGCAAGTAGGTGTAAAGCCCTAAGTGTCCCCAAAGTGGGTCCCAGGTCACCCCCTTGGTCAATTCCAGTGCTCTGGCACCTTCACATCTCTTGCCTCCTGGTGTCCTGGTAGAAGCTTCAGTTGTGACTTTCTGTTCCAGTTCATCTGTTCATTCTGTGGTTCAACAGGCAGGTAGCTACTCTCTGCTCAGCGCAGATTATTTGGGGACATGTGACATACACGTGTGTATGTGCACACACATACACACACACAGAGAAAAGTCCAGTACCAGTAGAGTGCTGGGATTAATACTTTAAGATGTACAGAGGCCCGAGGAAGTGGACTCCAGGGCCACTCTTGGAAGGGGAGGAGGGGGCCAGGGAAGGCTTTCAGACCCCTGCTCTTGTCCTGCTGTCCCTCCCTTGAGCACCCACTGTGTCCAACAACATCAGGGAGTCTGCAGCACCCTGACGTCTGCCCTGGGCCCCCTGCAGGATGTTCGAGCTGACCTGTACTCTGCCTCTGGAGAAGGACCTGAAGATCACACTCTACGACTATGACCTCCTCTCCAAAGATGAAAAGATCGGGGAGACAGTCATCGACCTGGAGAATAGGCTGCTGTCCAAGTTTGGGGCTCGCTGTGGACTCCCACAGACCTACTGTGTGTAGGTGCAAGGGGCTGGTTGCTCTTCTGCCCCCCGAATCCTGAGCACTTACTGTGTGCCAGCCCCGGGTTTAGCACTGGATAGGTGCTCTCTCGCTCAATCTTGTCCCCACTGTACTTATACGGAGCCTGAGGCCCAGAAATGTTATGGTTTGTAAGTGGTGGGATTCAGATTTGAACCTGTTTGTCTGACTCTAAGAAACTGGCTTGTCATCATGTGGTTGTAACCCAGCTCTCCTTAAGATACTACCGAGCCCCTGTAGAGGGAAGAATGAGGAAGGAGGGAAAGGAGAAGGGAGACAAACCATGGGTCACATGGGCCCCAGTGGAGCGTCTGGGGATCTGTGTCAGATGAACTCATGTGTGGACATCCCCTGCTCCGTTCTTGCCAATTTGGGTCTCATTTGGGTCTGATTCTCTCAATCTGGAAATTGAAAATATCTAGGTTCCATCTCAGTATGCATTTAAACACGTCCTGTTGTCTCTGGGCCTCAGTTTCCCTGTGTGTCAGGTGGCCCCCCACCCTGTCATGGCGGGTGAGGGTGCCCACTGTAAAAGTGAAGGGTGGGGAGCTGTGCAGGTGGGTGCACAGGCTCCCGCGCACCCCTCGGCAGCACCCTGAAGGGTCTCTTCTTTGCCTTGTGTTTGGGCCTCAGCTCTGGACCCAACCAGTGGAGAGACCAGCTCCGTCCCTCCCAGCTTCTCCACCTCTTCTGCCAGCAACGCAGACTCAAGGCTCCCGTGTACCTCACAGGCCGTGTGCTCTTTCAGGATAAAGAATATACCATTGAAGAAATAGGTGAGCTGCCACGTGACCCCAGAACCATGGCGGGCTCTCCGTCACCTCAGGGGTCAGGGGTGAGCGTGAAGCCAGGGTCTGGGTCACAGTTAGGATCAGTTTGCTTCTGGCTTTGGGTGCTCAGACTTTAATTGGAATTTGGGGTCCAGATGACCTCTGAGACCATTCTCTACTTGAATTGCACTAACTTGCCAGCTTGGCCTTCTGGGTATCTTCTGAGCCGCCATCCCCCCCTCGGCCCCACCTCCCCACACCCCTGACTCCCAGCTCCTGTACCTAAAGCATCCACAGGGCAGGCAGGAAGCCCTGCGGCCTCCACCCTTGCCCCTGGATCTGCCCAGTGCTCCCGCCTGAGAGTTCTGCCGCATGCCCCCCTGTGTGTCTGAGATGTCCACAGGCCTACATTGCCCCCCAGGAGCTGCTCAGACTCCCTGGAGTTGTTTATAGGCCCGGGGGGCGGGTCTCACTTCCTGGTCGTTTCAGAGCTGTTTGATGTCAGAGCTGGTGCTGAGGTTATACAAGGGAAGGGTGGCTCTGATTCCCCATCCCCAACGCCTCCTCCTCCTCCTTCCGCTGGTCTGTGAGCCCCTGTAGCACGGGGACCAGGGCTCACGGTCATACATTCATGAGAAAGGAAAGCCAGAAGCTATTGATGGTGAGGTCCCACATCGGCCTATTTTTGCAGATGAGGCCATGGAGGCCAAGAGTAGCTAACGACCTGCCCAAAGTCACGCAGCCAGTTAGGAGCAGAACCAGACCCCTGGCCCGGGGGTCCTGCCGCAATGCTGTGCCGCTTCCTTTGTGGCACCCGTTAGAGTGGGCAGAGCAGGTTTGTTAGATGAACTTGTGTGTGTGTGTGCATGTGTGTGTGCACGAAAATCTGTGCTCTTGAACACAGATACACCTGAGTGCACATACCTGCGTATGTCCTTGTGTGTTTGGACACACGTGGACTCTCCTCCCCCCCAGTCAAAGTTTTTTTAGTGGAGGCTCCAGGTTCCTGTGGCCGGCTGGTTGGCCAGGCTTGTCTGGATCAGAACCACCCTTGTGTCCTCATCCCGTCCACAGCACCAATCCTTGACCTACTCCCTAGCACGTAGGAGCTGTCCCTGGAAAACACAAGGTGGAAGGGAAGGGTGCTCACGGCCAGTCCCGTGCCTTTCCTAAATGAGGGTGTCATCTCAGCTGCCCTGCTGACCAACGGTGTCACTGCTCTGTGCTTCACTTCTATCATCTGTGAAACAGGCATGATAACAGCACTTACCTTCCAGGGTTATTATGAGGCTAGAACCTGTTAAGATTTATGAAGACCAGTGCCTGGTTTCTGCTTTATAAGTGTTTGCTGTGATTGCTATTATTTTAGCTATTGCTCCTAGTAGAGCAGATTGTGTGAACAGGAGAACAGTAGTACTGAAAGCATTTAGATGCCTGATCTGGAAATAGAGGTTGCTGAGGCTCAGAGTTTGGAGCAGTCAGGGAGGGCTTCCTGGAAGGGGTGAGCTTTTGGTGGAAAAAAAGAGCTTTATAGAAGAGGCTTGGTAGCAATGATGGCGATGAGGAATCTGGATTTTAAAGCTGGAGCCAGTGGATGGTGAGGCTTCCCTTGCAAAGTGAGACCTGAGGGTCAGAAGTGTGTCTTGGCTGGGGGTGAGGGTGTGGGGGTGAGGGGCTTCCCGAGGCCTCCAGGCAGCCCCACTATCCCTTGCTCACTCAACCCCGGCAACTTTTTTGTCTTTTCTCTGGAGCAGAAGCTGCCAGTGTCTTGAACCCACACCTGGGCCCCGTGGAAGAGCGCCTGGCCTTGCATGTCCTCCGGCAGCTGGGCCTGGTCCCCGAGCATGTGGAGTCCCGGCCCCTCTACAGCCCCCTGCAGCCAGACATTGAGCAGGTAGGACAGGGCCCCTGAGCCCTGATCCCCAGCCAGCCCCGCCCCCCAAGGACGGCATGGATATCCCAGAGGCATCTGTGGGGAGCTCAGGATTTAGCCAATCCCTCCTTGACATGTTTTCCCACAGTCTGAGTGGTGACCACTGTTGGCCTACAAGAGGACCCCTTGGGCCTGGCCTCCCCTGGCTTCCTGCAGCCCTCGGGACCTGGGGAATGAGCCTGAGCCATGGATAGACCTCTGGCTTCCCATGAGTCATTCAGAAGCCTCACTGTTTCAGCTTGGCCTCAGGATGTCCTCCCCTACTACCAGCCAGTGACATCCAGGTGGCTGGCGTGGGGCTGGGCTGCTGTGGGGAATCCAGACAGGGCAACTGGCACCCTATGACAGAATGGCAGAGCTATCACTGAGAGTGGTCATCAGGAGGGCCAAGGGCATCCCCCATGCAGAGGGAGGGTGAGCAGAGGGACAGGTGGCCCAGGACTGAGACCGGGAGGCTTCCTGGAGGAGATGAGCTCAGGACTGGGTTTTAGAGGAGGAGGAGAGAAAAGGCGACAGGCAGAGAAGGGCTGAGGCAGCAATGAAGGTGCCTTTATAGACATGCAGGAGACATGGTCTCTGCTGTTTGGACTGAACTCTCTTGCCCTTGGTGGGTGGCTGCCAGCACCCCAAAGTGGCACAGCAGGTGTTGATGTGAGCTTTCAGTCTCCAGCTATGTGCCCTGGAGAAGTGACTTCAGTCCCTGCTTTCTCTGTGAGATGGGGACAGAAATAGTATGGAGCTTACGGAGAGGGAGGGAGCTGAGGGGTAGCAGGTGGAGTGCTTCCTCGTGGAAATCCTCTGAAGCTCCTCTGAATAAACCGTGTTCTCCGACCCTCCAAAATCTTGTACATGCCATTCCCTCAGTTGGAAAAGCCCTTCTCCCCTTGTCCATCTGGCACACTGAGACTCAGCTCAAATACCATCATCTCTGAGAAGCCTGCCCTGACCCCCGCCCCCCAGGCCTGGGCTCAAGTCATCAGCCTGTGGGGTAGCAGGCTCACTGCTGCAGTTGGCCCTGGAGTCCCCTGTAGGGCATCTGCTCTCGGGGCGGTGGCGGGCGGGGGGCGCTCTCTGGGGCAGGGCCTGGGTGTTCTTCTTCCTGGGCCCCACCTGTGTGGCACAGAGCAGGTAGTTGATAGGTGTTGGTGGAATGAAAAAGGTGGGGAGAGAACGGGGTTATGTCTCCCCAGGGGAAGCTGCAGATGTGGATCGACCTATTTCCCAAGGCCCTGGGGCGGCCTGGACCTCCCTTCAACATCACCCCACGGAGAGCCAGAAGGTGACTTACCCCAGTCAGAGGCTTGGAGCTGAGCAGAGTGGCGGGATGGTTGCAGTTCGCTGTGGGTGGGACCTGGAGGTCACTCTTGGGCCACTTGTTGGGCCACTTGGGCCAGAGGGCATCGCTCTTGTGTGGGCCTGGCTAAGTGCCCAGCCAGGCAAGCATCGGGGTCTTGTTGGGTGAGCCAGCCTGTTGGCTTCTCAGTCAAAGATGGCCCACCCTTTGCTGGGAAATCCACGTAGACTTGAGCCCTTCTTCTCCACAGGTTTTTCCTGCGGGGTATTATCTGGAACACAAAGGACGTGATCCTGGATGACCTCAGCATCACGGGGGAGAAGATGAGTGATATTTACGTGAAAGGGTAGGGAGGCATCTGCCTTCTCACCTATTCCAGCCCCATGGTGTTGGCCTGCTCCCTCCTTCTGGTGGCGCTACACCTGCCCTTGGGGAGAGCCCCCAGAGCACAGGGAGGCCCCAGAGCTGGGCTGGCTGGAGGCAGAGAGCGCCTCTGGGGTGGTGGAATGGGGGAGCTCCAGCGTAGGGAAGGGAGGGAGGGAGAAAGGAAGGAGGGCCTTATGGGGCTGGTCCCTGCCTTTGGTGAGTCCTTCTCCCACCAATTTCTTCTACACAAATCTTTGGGTTGAACTTAGAAGGTTTGAGGATGTCCCTCAAGAGAGAAGTTAGATTGTTTTAAAATTAAAACATTGGTACTTTGCAGAGATTTCTCGGGGATTGTTTTTGCTTTATCCTTTACCAAGTGCATTTACCTTCTTAATTCCTCATTTGCCTAAGTTGGGGGTGCATATTGTGGTGGAAGCCTTAATTAGACATGTTCTCTAAAATGTTGTCTAGTTGGATGGTTGGCTTTGAAGAGCACAAGCAAAAGACGGATGTGCATTATCGGTCCCTGGGAGGCGAAGGCAACTTTAATTGGAGGTTCATTTTCCCCTTTGACTACCTGCCTGCTGAGCAAGTCTGCACTGTCTCTAAAAAGGTGAGCGCGGGCCATCCCCAGTGGCCTAGTCCCAGGGCTTTCTGTTGTGGGTATCACTGCCCTGCCATTGTCACACCTCACCAGTGCCCCCGGATGTTGGAATCCCCATGGCCATAGCCCTGTGACCTGTCTCCCCGCCTCCACGTCTGCCACCTCTCCCATTACTGCCATCATTAGCATTGCTACCCCCCCAACCACCCCCCACCAGTGCCACAGCCCCCATCTGTAGCTCGGTCCAGATTCTAATTAGTGCCTTCCTCCCAACCCCAGACAAACCAAGCGGCAGGAAGGGTCGCAGGGTCAGAGTGGGAAGAACATTCGTAGGGACACCCAGCGTGGCTATGGAAGGGGCAGTGGGGCCACACCCCATAGGGAGAGCTTCTCCAGAGGGCTGGCCTCACCTGTGGATGGGTTGTCCACAGGATTGGGGTTGCTTAGCTAAGTCCCTCGTGTGACATCATTCCCCACATTTCTGTGTCTGGTGCCTGTGGTCACTGTCCAAGCTGGACACTTACTGGGCGCAGCTCAGGCCTTCCAGGCTGGAAGCCGTTGTCCTCCTCCCTCCCTGACCCCCCTGAGGGACCTGGTGCAACAGCCAGGGGTTGGAGGCGGGTCCCAGGACCTCAGCTCTCTGTGTCTCAGCAGCTCCTCATTGAGGTCTCATCTGGATGGTAAACTCTTTTCTCCTGCAGTAGGCAGAGCCTGAGGCAGGCAGCCTCCTTCCTGGTGGCGCTGCACCTGCCCTTGGGGAGAGCCCCCAGAGCACAGGGAGGCCTCAGAGCTGGGCTGGCTGGAGGCAGAGTGCGCCTCTGTTGGAGCTTCTGTCCACCTGCATCCCACCCAGACAAAGTGGACGCCTCTCTGGCATTTCGGTTCCGCTGCTCCGATTTCCTTCCTGAGGTGGCGCAAGGCTTAAAGCCGCCAAGCTTCTGCGACGCCTTCTTTTTTGAATGGTTGAGCAGCTTCAAGAAGGCAAATACAGAACGTACTTCCTGGGCGCTGCTGACGTCCTCTTGGCTCTCTTCATTTCATCCTTCCCTTGCGACCCTTGCCCAGCCCAACACACAGGATCCTCTGCATTTTAGAGAAACCAGAATGTTCCAGGGAACAGTCTGAAACCATCACATGAAAGAAAATAGGGTTAAACAGGGTTAAAGGCATGCTCTCACCCATTGCCGCATAGTGCCTGCCAGAAGGCAGAATTTAGCAATAGCCTTGGGTTCCGTGCAGTCAAGGAAAGCCTAGCCTCTTTGTAGGTTTAATCTTGTTTGCATTTGCCCAGTGCATTTGTCTATCACGAGTTGTTTCCATAACAAAGCAAATGTTGCATTTGTTGGGGAAGAGCTCCAAATCAAACACACACTGCATCTCTTTGCTGTGGGCAGAGGGGGAGTAGGGGCCGGGAATGGGGCCGGGAGGGCTCAGGCATCCTGTCTTCTGTGCTTGGCGTGCCGGACAAGGATGGGAAACCGAGACTGAGAGGTGCCGAGGGGCTGCTTAAATGGGAGGCGGGACTACCCCCTTCACTGTGACACGTGGGGATGTGGGCGAGGAGGCACAGGAAGCAGAGGCTCTGTTTTTTCTACAAAGTAGGAAGAGAGAATCTCCTGGCACTGTGGCAGGTGAATTGAGACAAATGGAAAAGGCTGGAAGAAGCCATTATGCTGAGTGAGGGAGCGAAGGGGGAGAGAGTGGGAGAAAAAGGCACAGGGGGAGGGAGAGAGAGCCAATCGTGATGCTGAGGTCAGCTGAGATGCTGGAAGTGCTGAGGACCCAGCTGGAGCTGCTGGTTAACAATTTGAGGTGGTTCCATTCTAGCAATGGAGGAGTTCCTTCTCTCCATCATAAGCACTGGCAAGGAAGAAGAGAATCAGGCTGGCCCACTGTGGAATAGCCCCTAGGCTGGGACTAGCCTGGGAAGAATGAGAAGCCCAGCAGGGCTTGGGGGGGGGGGGGTGGGCGGGGAGGGGAGAGAAGGAAGAGGAGTCAGGGAGTCCAGGAAAGGCCCCCCGCGCCCCGTGGGAGGGGCAGGGGCAGTGGAATACGGTGGGGTGCCATGCTCCAGGAGAAGGTAGCTGAAGGGAGGGGTGGAGGAGGTCAGAAGAGGAAGAGGAGGCTCTGAAGTCAACCAGGGGAGTGAGGGAGGATCTGGCTTGAGCCAGGAAGAGCCAGTGGGTCCCTCTGTGGGAGAAGGAGCCTAGGAGGCAGGTGAAGCTGTGCCCACAGTGGGGCACCAATGAGCTGGTCTGGGCCAAAGGACTGAGTCTGGGAGTGAGATGGTGCGGGGGTACCGCACAGCCTCTGGGCTCCCCAGTCCTGCCCGCAGAGCCAGCCTTCTGCCGAGGGGTTCGGGGCCTCTGGCAGGCAGGCCCTCCGGGGACCCCATTAACCAGACGAGACTGTCATAAAGCACAAGGGTCTCCTTTCATCCAGCTGCTTTGAACCACCGCTGGTTGCCCCGGCCTGGCTCCCCACCTGGAGCCCAGCACACCCACTGGGGCCTGCCTGCGCGTCAGGCACCCACCCTGCAAATAAACAGCTAGTAAAAGGGCCCAGACCGGGAGCGTAATGAGCGCCTGGGACCTGGGGGGCCATTCCCCAGGCTGGAGCCCCAGCGCAGCTGCTCCCACCAGGGGCCGTTTGAACCTCTGGCTCATTACTGAGCCCATAAACCGGGCCGGCCAGAGGAATGGAGGATGCTGGCGGCCTGTGCAGGCGGGCCTGCGGAGCTGGCCATAAAAGCCCCGCCAGAGAAGGGAGGCACCTGCAGGAGGGCTGGGGCCCGGAAGAGGGGAGGCACCAGATGGGGGCCAGCTGGGGGCCCGAGCCCCTCGCCAAATCAGGCAGCGGTCCAGGCTGCAGTGGTGTGTGCTTTGCAAGGTGACCGTTCCTCACAGGGCATGGTTTTTGGTCCAGGAGCTCTGTGGGTCTGCGTGACCGGGGGTGGCCAGACAAGAGGCACAGCCCTGGCTGGGCAGCAAGACTGCGGGTACGGGACACCCAGGGGCAGGCAAACCCTCTGTGATCAGCAGTTCTCCCAGACTCCCGGTAGAGTCTGTCCCCTGAGACTGGTTCTGGGCCCTGCTGTGACCTGGCACACTCAGGATCTGGTCCTCAGTGTCTGCAGGATCGTCATAATGGTTCCTGTCCTTACTACTCACTCAGGAAAAGCTACAGCTGAGGGCAGAGAACAAGCATGAGCGGAAAAGCCTCACAGACAGTCCTTTGAGTTGAGCGTGGCTGGATTCAGGGGTGAACCCAGGCCGCAGCATGCCTGTCCTTATCCCTCAGCTGCTCTAGGAGGCTTCTGTGGGAAGAGGTCCATGATAATGCTGGTCTAGGCTGAGTGGTCTCAGGGAGGCGGGGTAGGGAGAGCAGGAGGGTGGAGAACTTCCCAGCACTGGGGGCTTTTGATTTGCCCCAGGGCAAGCTCTTGGAGATAAAGATGGGGTGGGTGGCCGTGGCAAGGAAGGAGCTGGGGTCACTGTCGCCCCTTACGGCAGTGTGTCAGGGGGATCCTTCCGGTGACAGCTAGGGTGGGGTGGGGGCCCCCAGGTTCCCAGCCAGCCTACCCATTCCTCAAGAGCACAGGGGCAAAGCAGGATTTAGAGGTGAGAGCGGGACTCGGGAACCTGACGGCCTGCCTGGGTTTGAACCCCAGCTCACCACTTCTCAGCAGCCTGACTCAGACAGGTTCCTTGCTCTGGCTTCCTCAGCTCTAAGGACAACATCTCCCTTATAGGTTGTTGGAAGCATAAATGAGCTCGGAGTGGCAAAGGGCTAGAACAGAGGAAGTGCAGATTAATATTATTACTATTAGCTGCCAGATCTTGGGCAAATTCTTAACTTCTCCAAGTCTCTGCTTCATCATCTGTACAATGGGAATGAAACCTCCGCCCATGGCACTGGAGGCTTCAAGGAGCTATGCCACGTGAAGTCAGCCTGCATGGTTCCTTCCTGGGTCCTCGAACGCCGTCTGCTGGTATCTTAGCAATCTTCCTGCCAAGACCTGGTGCTGCCAAGTCCCTAAGAGATGTCCCATTCATTGCCTCCTCCGGGCAGCCCTCCAGCCTCTCTAATCTTGCTTCCCTGCTTCCTCCTCTGGGCCAGGACGCTTTCTGGAGGCTGGACAAGACTGAGAGCAAAATCCCAGCCCGAGTGGTATTTCAGATCTGGGACAACGACAAGTTCTCCTTTGATGACTTTCTGGGTGAGCACTGTTTCCGGCGCACTGGGGGTTGACCCAGAGCCCCCGCTTGTGTGCGTGTGTGCATGTGCCGTTCTTAGGAAAGCTGGCAGGAGGAGTGGTCCTACTCTCCGTCCTCAGGGAGCTCAGGGTCACTGCTCCCTGGTGCTGAGTATGGTCTGGGACACAGAGGGGTGCCTGAGGGCCTGTCAGTGGAGGTGGTATGGAACGCCAGGCTACGTGGATGGTAGCAGTCAGGTCAAGAAGAAAGGAAGGCACAGGTCAAAGGCGGGGCAAGCATGAGCTCAATGTCACTGACTGCCTGGCCTCACCCTTGACCGGATGCCCCCACCTGCACCCCTGTCTAGACTGGCAGCCGGGCCCAGTAAGTGAGGGGCTCTCGTCAGTCCTCATGCTTGTGTCTGAGTGATGAGTGAACGAGCCACTGTGGCTCCATCCTCCAGGCCCCCAGGCAGGATTCTGGTGGGGGAGAAGTGTGCAGAAACCCGAGCTGGGAGCAGGGAGTGCTGGGCTGGAGGATGTGGTAAAGACAGGGTGAGATGTGGGGCGAGGAGGATGGTTGTACGGGGCCAGCAGGTGGGACTGTGAGTAATAGCCCTGTCACAACTCTGAGAGTTCCCCAGAAAGTGTGGTCTAGCTGTACGATTAGATATTATTCAGCCACAGAAAGAAAGGAAATACGGATCCATGCTACAATGTGGATGAACCTTGGAAACATGCTAAGTGAAAGAAGCCAGTCACAAAAGGACTAAGATTGTATGCTTCCATTACATGAATCGTCCACAGCAGGCAAATCCAGAGACAGAAAGTGGCCTGGTGGTTGCCAGGCGTTGGGAGGAGGGGAGTGAGAATGACTGCTAATGGGTACGGGGCTTCTTTTGGGAGTGATGACAATGTTCTGGAATTAGATAGAACTGGTGCTGGCACAACTCTCAATATACTAAAAGCCACTGAGTTTTACACTTTGAAATGGTTAAATTGGTACATTTTATGCGATGAGAGTTTTAATTCAATTAAAAAAAAAAGTGGACCTCGTGAGAAAGGCAGCCTGGGGCGTCAGGAGTCCTGATTCTTGGCCCACTCTGCTACTTGGGAGCAGGGTGGCTCTGGATGGAACACTGGAGCCCTTCTTGGCTGGCCCTGGATTGCAGAAAGGTGAGCTGGTCTTTGCTGAGCCCTTGGGCCCCTGCAGGGGGCGTTCAGAGGAGCCGCTCCAGCAGGGATGAGGAGGAGGTCAGCCCGCCCCTGCAGCTCCCTGCCTGGTCACCCACATTCAGAGGACGGCACTGGAAAAGATGCAGGCTGTCAAAATCATGGCATCCAATTGGACTTTTGTTATTTTACTGATTCTCCTGCAATACATAATTCCTGTAGAAAATTGGAAAATACAGATCAACAGTGCCTCGCTTTGCTTATGTGTTAAAATTTCACTACTCAGAGATAACCTCCACTCCTATGTTCACACGTATAATTTCATATATAAGCAAACACATGTATGTTATATGTGTATTTACACACATATATAATCATACCTACATATATGGCATGTATATAGCAAAATGAACTTTATCACACATATGTTTTATATCCTGATTTTTGGGGAAAACTTAATATTTCAAGCATATCCTTTCTGTTGCTAGTTACCTGCCCATGTTTATATCTGCATCATAATACTTAACTCCTGCCTGTCGCTGGGCCCTATTCTGCCTAACTAATCTTCTCTTGGTGGGTCCTCAGCTCACCTTTGGATCTTCCAATGTGAGTGATACCCTTAGGCACACATCTCTGAATCCTTTGTGTATATCTTTCCTGAACTGTAGGTAGATTTTTAGAGTCTTTGTACATTTTCGTGGTTTTGGAAATATTTTGTTCAGTTGCTCTCTAGAAAGGTTTTGCATTTTTACATTTACATTTTATTCCCACCTGTGCCCTTTTTGTATCACTTTTGCTACCAGTGTTACTTTTTTTTTTTTTAATTGCCTATCTGACACCTCATTTTAATTTTTTTTTTTTTAAGATTTTATTTATTTATTTGTGAGAGAGAATGAGAGACAGAGAGCACGAGAGGGAGGAGGGTCAGAGGGAGAAGCAGACTCCCCGCCGAGCAGGGAGCCCCATGCGGGACTCGATCCCGGGACTCCAGGATCACGACCTGAGCCGAAGGCAGTCGCTTAACCAACTGAGCCACCCAGGCGCCCCTCATTTTAATTTTTGTTTGCATCTCTTCATTACTTGTGAGGTGGAACTTTGAAAATATACTTATTTCCGTATTATTGGTGGGATTTTATTTTCATGGTTTTGTTCATCTTGTTCGTCTTTGATTTTTGATTTTCAGAGCGCTTTGCCTAGTAAGGACACATTACAAATAATTCCTCCAATTTTTTCAACTGCTTTTTAATTTTTTTATGGAGTCTTTTTTTGCTTACAGACTTAACGGGTTTTTTTTTTTGGCATCATTCTATCAACCTTTTCTTTATGAGGTGAGACTTCAGAAAATTAATTTTAAAAAGAAAAACGAAGAAAGCTGCATTTTTACTGAATGAGAAAACTGTTCAAAAAAACAGCAAAATGGGCTCATCTTTTGTTTTTAAAAATAAAAATAAAACCATTAAAACTACTTTTAACTTCATAAGGTTTCTTTTTTCTTCTTCATAATGTGTTTTTAATGACATATTTTGCTTTTTTAAAATATTTATTACTTTAAAAAAAAAGTAATAAATAAGATCTATCATCTTGCCAATCCAGAGATTATACAATGTTTCCTTACAGTCTTTTATGTAGATCATACTGGGATAATTTTGTGTATACACACACACACCCACACACACACATATATGGTTTAATATCCTGATTTTTCTTAATGTTATATTAGGACCATATTTAAAATGGGAAACAAACACTCATCTACACTTGAGGGATGGAGAGACATGTGGGCGGGTGGATAGATAGATGAACGCTCATACAGAATTGAACAAGTGGATGGATAGAATAATAGCCTGATTAATGGATAGGTGTAGTTCTCAACAAATGGCAGCTATGGAGGGACGGAGATAGATCACAGCAGATGGGTAAGTAGAGGAATAAATGGATGAGTGGAAAGAAAGAAAACTAGAAAAATAGATCCCATTGGTGGATACTTACAGTAACTGAGCATTCCACACTGAAAAAAATCTAATCTCTTTTTCATGGTATTCAAGAATTTCTTTAATTTGGCCTCAGAAAACATTTTTTAGATTTATCTCTCTCATGTAATCCCTTCAGCAAGTTATGCTCCAATCGCATTGATTTCATCATGTTGTTGTGATTGGATTAGGTGAAACCACATGAAATTGCTGTTTTTATAGGTCAAAGACAGTTGAATACCATTTTCATATGGTCCAACCATGTAGATGGAGCTCTATTACAGGGATATGATGGATTAAATGGATGAGTAGATAAATAGTATAGAAAGATGGCTGCTTGGAGAACTAGGCGGGCAGATGGAAAAATGGCCGGATGAATCACAGTGAGATACAACTTCACATGTATTAGGATGGCTCTAAAAAAACAAAAGCAGAAAACAGAAAACAACAAGTGTTAGAGAGGATGTGGAGAAATTGGAAGCCTCAGACATGCTGGTGTGAATGTAAAATGGTGCAGCTGCTGTGGAAAACAGTTTGGCAGGTCCTCAAAAAAAAACCAATACAGAAATTACCAGATGACCTAGCAATTCTAATCCTGTACCCAAAAGAATTGAAAACTGAGACTGAGACACTTGCACACCAGTGTTCACTGCAGCATGATTCACATTAGTCAAAAGGTGGACACAACTCAAGTGTCCCATCGACAGACGAATGGATAAACAAAATGTGGTCTATCCATCCCATGGAATAGCATTCAGCTATAAAAAGGAATGAAGCACTAATATGTACTTCAACATGGATGAACCTGGGAAGCGTGCTACGTGAAATAAGCCAGACACAAAAGGACAAATATTTTATGATGCCACCTCTATGGAATATCTAGAATAGGCAAATTTGTAGAGACAGAAAGGAGATTAGAGTATCTCAGGGACTGAGAGGAGGGGGGAAAGGGGAGTTATTGCTTAATGGGTACAGAGTTTCTGTTTGGGGGGATGAAAAGTTTTGGAAATAGGTAGTGGTGATTGGTTGTATGATGTTGTGAATGTAATTAACGCCATTCGATTATGCATTTAAAAATGGTTAAAGTGACAAATTTTATGTTATATATATTTTACCACAATAAAAGCAATTTAAAAAATGGATGGATGGAAGGATGGATGTAGACAATGGGTGAATGAATGGATTTGTACAACGTAAACTGAAGTTGAGTACGTGGGAAGCTCTGTGAAGGGTGAACGAGTAAGAGTAGATTATTGAGCATATGGATGCGTGAGGAGTTGGATGGGCAGCTGTGTGGAACGAGAGGCGATGGGTGGGGGAAATGAAGAGTTTGTGGAATTTGACCCGTGGCTAAGCGCATAGATCCAAGAGGAGGAGGTGACAGTTTTTCTTGAAACTGTCCAGCCCCAGGGTAGCCCCAGGCTGGCAGGAATCGAGAAACCCTCAGCCAAAGAACCCCTCTCTGCTGCAGGCTCCTTGCAGTTGGATCTCAACCGCATGCCCAAGCCTGCCAAGACAGCCGAGAAGTGCTCCTTGGACCAGCTGGATGACACTCTCCACCCGGAGTGGTTCGTGTCCCTTTTTGAACAGAAAACAATGAAAGGCTGGTGGCCCTGCATGGCAGAAGAGGGTGAGAAGAAGATCCTGGCGGTAAGTGGGCTCCCTCCAGCCTGGTGCAGGCGCCAGACTAGCTTCCTCCTTAGAAATCACTGGGCACAAATCTGGCGCCCTCCTTCTCTCCTGCCCTGCCTCTCCCTGTCTTCCAAGGTACTGTCATGGTTCTCTTCCAGTTCCCAGCCTTCTGGCTCCTTGAGGCTTGCATCCCAGGAAGCCTATTTAAATGGAAAGATAGCCTTACCTCCCTCAGGCCCTGTGTAATTTATGCTCTCCTACTTGACCTCCAGAGATCTGTGTCCTGAGCTCCCCTCTGGGCAGGGCTTCCAATGGAGGACCGGGGAGTGCCTTTCCCATTGGAGCAGGATCTTTTCAGGGACCATCCTTTTACTGCTGTCCTGGCCCAGAGGTCTGCTCAGGGGTACCATGACACCGTGGAGAACTGTCCTTCCTTCCTCTGGAGAGGAAGTGAATCCTGTACAGTTTACTGAGAACGCGCAGGTGGCCGGCCAGCCCCTAAAGTGGACCTTGAAATAAAATACCCTTGTTGTAGAAGGAATTTTAACACTTATTAAGAAATACTAGCACCTCAAAAGAAAAACCAGCAAAGGACATGCATAGATAATACACAAAAGAAGTACAAATGGCCGTTAAACATTTAAAAAGGTTCATTCCCCCTAGTAATTAAAGGAATCATTTTAAATGTGGAAACATTTTTGCCTATTAAATTAGACATTAAAAAAAAAAACCCTAAATGCTCATTGCTGGTGAAGACTCAGAGGCAGACCCCTCGTTTACTTCTGCTGGGAGGGCTAATGGTTTTACCATTTAGGGAAGCAATTTGGTAATATATAGCCAGGGATTTAACAGTATTTTTGCCCTTGGACTCTGTCATCCCACTTTTAAAAATCTCTCCTAAAGAAATAAACAGACGCAATTAAAAATGTAGTCTCTGGGGTGTTTTTTTTGCAGCATTGTTTATAACATCAAAGAGTTGGAAACAATCTAAATGAACCAAAATAAGTGTTTTACTAAATAAATTATGGTCAACCATCCCATAGAACATTTTACAGCCATTAAAAAGCAAACTTTAAAGAATATATAATTGTATAGTGAAACAAAATACTTCTAAGTGAAAGAAGGAAGCTCTAGAATGATACAGACACAGTGACATATTGCATATACTTGCAGAGGAAAATAGCTCTAGTACATAAAAATATGAATGGTGCTCATCTCTACATAGTAGAAGTATGGCTGATGTTCTCCCTTAGACATTTCTGTAGCTTCTAAATGGTCTACAAGGAGCAGTAGTGCTTTTGTGATTGAACAACCCTATATCTTTAAAAAAAATAATAAAGTGGCTCTCATGTCTGTTCTGGCCAGATTCCTCTCCAAGCCACGGGGCAGAGCCTTTGTGCACCTGATCAGGTCCCCTCTGTCCCCTCAGGGCAAGCTGGAAATGACCTTGGAGATCGTAGCAGAGAGTGAGCATGAGGAGCGGCCTGCTGGCCAGGGCCGGGATGAACCCAACATGAACCCCAAGCTTGAGGACCCAAGGTTAGTGCCCAGCCCTTGACCCCTGATGCCCAGGGGGCTGGGAGGGGTGGTCCAGGAGGCACCCATTGCATAGCCATGCAGAGGTCACAAGGCCCACATGACTCAGAGGGGGACGTGACTTGTCCAAAGCCACATGGTAAGTTCGGGTCAGATGACAAGCATCACGATGGGGAGCACTCCTCAGCTAAATTTGAGAAGCAGGGGCTGTTGGGTTGGTGTTGGTTGTGTGCTGAGCACATGGTCACATGCCATATATACGTCATGGTATGGATCCTTCCCCGCTGGGTTGTTATTATCCCCATTTTACAGATGAGGAAACAATGTCAGCAAAGTTAAATAAGGTCATTCCACTGGGAAAGTGAAGCTGGAATTCTCACACCTGTTCTGATTGGCTCTGGAGCCCAATGAAGGTTTTTACCTTGACCAAGCTGCCTTCTGTGGCTCACCTGTGGTGTCCATATGGCTTTCAAATGGCCTTCCAGCCGTAATTTGGCCATCCATGAATCCCTGTCTTCCCTACGTCCTAGGCCCCTAAAAGATATAGACCAATCCAGTGGATGTTGAGGCCTTGAGGGCAGTTACTGGGGGCAGGAGGATGGCTGTGGGGGCAGCAGTGAGAGCTGCGTTTGCTGGGTCCCTCCCCACAGCCCGGCTCGGGTCACACTTGGCGCAGACGGGCCGTTTATCTCGGCGAGATCCCCAGTGCCTGGGGCTCTGAGAGGTGTCCCTGCCCAAGGATGTTGGGATCTGGGTGCAAAGACAAGAGAGACCCAGTACACCCAGTGACGTGCACTCCAGTGTTAAAACAGCCATTATTGAGACACGACGCCCTGCACGCTCTTTGAGTTGGCAGATGAGCTAGGGGAAGGTTTTGAGGTTCTCAGCTGTGAGTGAGAGACAGTCAGCTTGCCGGGTTCACTTCCCACCATCCTTCCCTGACCATGGAGCAGCCCTGTGCATCTAGGCAGATGGTTTGGCTTAGCTGGGGCTCAGGGGGCCGTAGCTCACCTCATATGGCAGCCTCTCGAGCCTCTGCCCCGCTCCCACATCGCTAGTCTGTGATTAAGTTCTGGGTCAGGAAGGGGAGCTGGTGGCTGAGAACCAGGTCTCGGAGGGTGCCTAGGGCTTGGCGGCACCGAGAGGAGGAGGGCAGCCCAGGCAAGGCTCTCGCTGCGGCAGAGGCTCAGAGAACAAGGGAACGCAGAGGACAAGGGCTGGGGCTCCTGGGGCCAACTGTGGAGGGCCAGGGCGGTTTGGGAGCAGGGTTTGGAGAAGGCAGCGCGGGTAGGGGGTGCCCTGCTGAGCTCTGGGGTCTCACTTCCAGGCGCCCTGACACCTCCTTCCTCTGGTTCACCTCTCCGTACAAGACTGTGAAGTTCATCCTGTGGCGGCGGTTCCGGTGCGTCATCATCCTCTTCATCATTCTCTTCATCCTACTGCTGTTCTTGGGCATCTTCCTCTATTCCTTCCCGGTGAGTCTTGGAGGAGCCCCTGGTCTGATGAGGGAGATGGAGCCCCTACTCTGGAGAGTCCCCAGTGTGGTAGAGACAAAGCCCTGGCCTTGGGACAAAGTCCTACTCCTCGTCCAGGGGGTGGGGGGCGGCTGAGTTTTTGCCTTCAACAGAGAGACGTAGCTGTCCTCAGCAAGCCCCTAGACTCTGTAATCCACATTGGCAGAAGGTGAGGCCCCTTGGGCAGGGGTGGGCAGGGGAACCTTCTTGAAGGAGCATGTGGAAGTCGGTCTGGAAGGGAAAGGTAGGTGTGGATGGCAGAGCAGAGGGGAAGGCCCCCTGTTTATAAGAATGGCACCTGCTGAGGTCCAGAGGAAGGGATGTCCTGGTGCTGGGAGAGGGTCTCTCAGTGATCGCCTGAGGACCTTGATGGGGTGTGTCCTGCCTCCTGCAGTGGGGTGGGTATGGGGGACGGTGTGGGTGGGCAGGAGGTGGGCCCGGGAGCCTCTCACCAGGGCACATTGGCGGTGCTGGTAGGAAGCCAGCTGATGCCCGGGGAAGGAGCCTCGGGGGGCCACTCTATCGAGGGTTGCTTCAACCCCCCCCCTCCCCGCTCCACTGGGCCCCTCCCAGGAGGAGTAACAGGGCCTCTGTTCCCTGTCTGTGCTTCCCCGGCCCTCACAGCTCATCAGGGAGCCCCAACGATGCTCCAGCCCCCACCCCACCGTGTCTCTGGAACTTCAGACCTTGAGGTGTTCCCAGGCTGATTCCTGATTTTTAACGTTCTTTAAATTTTTAAAAAACTTTCTCGTATGCGAATTTCAAATTGATATAAAAGTAGAGAGAACGGCATGATCAACCCCATGTCACCTGGTTTCTAATGGCAAGGAAACGGACACTCAGTGAAGGGAAGGGGCTGGCTCAGGGTTGCACAGCTCCTGGTCCTGGGTTCTGGCCTCTGTGGGCCTCAGTCCTGCTCAGCACCAGGCTGCCGGCCAAGAGCACGGTCCCCACAGCAGGCAGTCTGCTCTGGGAATTACCTTTACGGGTCCGTGTGCTCCTTGCTTTGTGAATCCTCGAGGAGGAGAAGGAGGATGGAGAGCTCTCTCCCACTGTGGCCGGCGAGGACTTATACGAGCAGCGCGCGTCTCCTGCAGTTAAAACCCCAAAGCCCTCCCCTTCAGTCCCTCACATCATGGACTGTGAGGAATAGCAGGGAGACTGTCTGGCCGGGCCGTCCAGGCCCCAGCTACTCTCTGGACCATAAGTGACAAAGGAGGGTCTAGAGCCAGGATGGCTGACGTGTCCGGCTGCAGCCAGGCCCTCTAAGCCGGCTGTGGTCACTTGGAGCGCCATGCTGAAACGTGTTCCGGGAGGAGTCACGGCTAATTGGCTAACTGGTTGCCGACTAAGGAGGGTCCAGGTGGTAGGGACCTACCTGCAACATGTGCAGCTTGGGGGCTCTCTTGAAGCAAAGCAAGACAAAATCACAAAATCACCGATACGGGCCCACGGAGCGCACGTGCCATGTGGCACCCTGGCATCCAGACTCGGGCTCCGTGTCTCCCCGCACCGGGGCAGGCCTGGGTTGCCTGGTCGGGGAGGCATGGTTCCCCTCGCCGGCCTGTCCTCCGGCTCTCGTCCTCTCATTTTGGGTATATCTGGCTGCCACTCAGTTCAGGCGAGGGCTTCATTAAGCACAGGGTGTGTGTCTGGGAGGTGAGGCAGTGTGGCGGGGATGAGGGTGATGAGCTCTGTGCCACTGGGGAGCGTGGTTCCCGGGAGACACAGCGAAGCGGGTGAACGAGGGCCAGGGTACTGCTCAGTGCTCCATCCCGAGGCCCGGGCCGGGGGAGTTTAGGGAGAGGAGAGCTGGCACAGACCCTTGCTCCTCAGGGAGGTGGTCTGCGGGGCAGCAGCAGGGGGCTGGTAAGAAATGCAGAGTCCTGGTCTGGCCCTAGGTCTGTGGAGGAGAATCTGCACTGGGCACATTGAGGTTTGCGAATCGCCGCTGTGCAGGACGGAGCTCTGTGCTTGGAGTCAGGTGTCGGCCAGGCTCGGGCTCTGCCAGTGACTTCCCCTGTGACCTTGGCGAGGCTCTCCCGCCCACATGAGAAGGGGTTTGGGACCCGCTGGGACTAGCACTGTGGTTAGGGGAGCTCTTTTGCCTTCCCTGCAGGTGCCGGACATCAAACCAGCCTTCTCCTGAAGAGCTAAGGAGAGGGCAGGGGCGGGTCCCAAGTGTCACCACTGCCCATTCTGTGACTAGCTCCAGCTCCTGGCCAGCTGGGCCCTGCCCTGCCAGGCACTGGGGTAGCAGGCCAGGCCTTCAGGGGCCCGGGGAAGGAGGGCCTGCTCCCTGGCCAGGAGAGAGAGGGGAAGATTTCCAGTCACTGCCAGCTGGCTGTCCTTCCTCCCCTCTGGGCAGCCTTAGCCCCAGGCCCTGTGGGCAGGAACAGAGGAGCACTTAGACCAATAGCCCTGCTCAGAGCCCCTCCCCTCTCTTGTCCCCCAGCTGCGGCATTACTCTCCTTGAGTCCTGCTGGAAATTGTCCTCTTTAAACTACCAACTCTGCCTTCCCTCTCCCAGAGGTGCTGTGAGAGCCAGATCCTAGGTGAGGGGGGCCAGGGCTAGAGGGGCAGCACAGGCCTGAGGCTGCAGACCTTGTTTATTTATAGGTCTTTGCTACTACCTAGGCAAATCCTGCTCCCCTCCAGCCAAGTCGCCCGATCACCTGGTGGGTCCTAGACCCTCACCTGGCTTTTAGGCCTTGGGGGCCGAGGGTCTGAAAGAGAGGGGCCCAAAGCCAGGGCTGCTTCCCTCCAGTTGGCCTAACTTCCCACCCTCTTGGAAATTGCCCTGGGAGGGGGACATGGAGGGCAGCCTGTCTGATTCCTCCCAGCTCCCCCCGAGAGCCAGCCGGGAGCAGGGCCAGCGTGGGGAGGCAGGAGGCGATCTGGCGGGGAAGGAGCGGCGGCTTTGTTTCCAGAGTTGGCTTTCCCGGGCCGGCGCTGGGGAACATACTGTCCCAATTAGGAGCCTTGTGTTGTGTTGTATGTGTTTTCATGGTTTTTTTTGGGGGGGGGGAGGAATGGGGAGGGGAGATTCCTGTCAGTCCTGCAGCAGGCAGGGCTTAATCAGGGGTGACCCATCTCCAGGGCTGACCTGCATGGTAGGTCATCCCCATACATCCCTCCCCTCAGCCTTCTCTGTCTGTTGGCTGGATGGGAGTGTGGTGGCCAATGAACCCATGTGGGTTCCCATGTGGGGGTATATGGGAGGGGCTGGGGAGAATCATGGCCATGCCTTCAGGCCACCTGTCTGATGGAAGAGGACAGGACAGGCCTGCCCCTGACCAGGCCCTGGATGATCAGAGTCCTCTTGGCAGGTGGCTGGAGCACGGAAGTGGGCCTTGGGTTGGTAGGGGAGGAGACTGAGCCACTCAGCACCGTGGCCCCAGGTTGGAGGGTGCAAGCAGAGTTTCAGGAGGGTGTGGGCTTGTGTGGTTGGCGAGAGCCCCGGGAAGTGGGGTGTTGAGCTGAGTGTGGTGTGGGGGGTGGTGTGGGTAAGGTGGAGGCAGGTGGTTGAGTAGGTGAGCCTCCTTTCCTAGCTCTCGCCCCCTGGCAGCTGTCATCATGTGTCCCTGCCTCTTCCCTCCCTCCAGAACTATGCGGCCATGAAGCTGGTGAAGCCCTTCAGCTGAGGACTCTGGCCCATGACTGGCTGCCTTCTCCACCCAGCTTAGCCGAGCTCCTCCAGACCTCCAGGCCTCACCAGCCAGCAGACAGACTGGTACACACTCCAAGAGCTGGTGACATTGAGTCCTGGGATCACCCTCGTTTCATCATTTCTTTTGCCCCCGACCCAACCCTTTTTGGATCAGCCCATATGTATTTCAGTATAAAACAGTTTGAACCACAGGGCCATGTTGGTGTGTGTGTCCCCGTAGTGCCTGAGTGAGGTGGGGTTGTGTAGAGGACAGCTGTGTCTGGCTCGCTGGGCTGTGAGTCGGGCGGGGGCCATCTCTGGCTCGGCATTCTGAGTGGAACTTTATCCTTTGACAAGACTGGTCGGTGTGCGTGGGCTTTGAGGTTTGGTGTCTGGTCCTGGAGAACATTCCCCTCCTCCCTCTCCCTCCTCACTGAGGCTTCTCCTCTTCCTTTCCCAGGCTGCGCTTTGATTAGGCGGGCGGTTACTGTACCTTCTGCTTTCTTTGACCACGCCCAGGAAGACGGTCCACTTTATCCAAGTGGAGCACCATGGAAAGGATTGGGCCAGGAACTCTCCAGGCAGGGAGGGCTGCTGGGCCTTTGGCTGTGACCTTATCCCCCACCCCACAATTTTGGGATTTCTTGTGACTCCGTCACTCTGTCACTCTGCTTCCTTACCCTGCTTAAAGATCTGGTCTGCACAAACACACCATTTTCTTGTGGTCTGAAGCTTAGCATTAGCTGCGGGTCTGTCTTCTCCTGCAGGAATCAGGCTTAATCTATGGGGGCAGCAGGAACGTACTTAGAGAAAAAGCAAAGAGCGTGAAAACATCGTGTTTCCAAAACAGAGGCCTCTGCTTCTCTCGCCTGAGGGGCTGGAACTCTGGAGCGCAGCACTGGCCGCCTCTTCTCCTGTTCCCCAGGAGGGCTTCTCCTATTTCCCGCTGTGAGCCTGCTCCCCTGGCCCAGGCCCCAAGGCCTCAGCGTGATCCTTCCAGGGCACTTGGCTCTTCCCTGCACTCTGAGACCCAGACTACGGCCTTGCCTTGTCTCACCTGATTGGCAGACTGGGGTGAATGGCACAGGGCTGATGGCCTGGACCCTTTCGGGTGAACTATGCTTCACAGAGTGATTTTCTCTTCGGGAGAGGTTCAAGATGGAAGTGGCCCTCAATATCCAGCTGGGGAAGATCTGAAAGGCAGGGCAGGAGTCATTCCTTCATTAATTCATTCATGCTTTTCATTCCTTCATTCATTAAAGAAATGTGTGTATGTGTGTGTACCAGGCAAAGTGCTAGGCTCTAGAGATACAATGTCGATCAAGATAAACATTGGTTTTTAAAGATGGTTCCTGCCCTCCCACATCTCACCACTGAGTGGGAGAGGAAGATAGATAGATAGGCAATTACAATGCAGTGATGGATGAGCAGGGATTACAGGGTCAAGGGCAGAGAGTGGGAAAGAAAATGGAACAGAGTATGTGAAGACTGGCCAAAGCCAGAAATGAGTTCAAATATCTATAAGAATTTCTGTGTGGGCCCCGGGCAGTGGTTCTCAACCAGGGGCAGCTGTACCCCTCAAGGCCTATTTGGCAGTGCCCGGAGATGTCGTTGATTGTCCTGGCTGGAGGGGGGCGGCTGGTGAGGGTGCTCCTGGCATCCAGCAGCTGCTAAACATCCTTCAAGGCATAGAACAGCCCCCGCCTTCCCCAATTAACTATCTAGTCCAAAACACTGTTCCTGTTGCTATTGAGAAACTCTGGCGTAGAGATAGTGGATTCTAGAGATACTGAAAATTAGACTTGATGGGCCCCGGGGGAGCGATTGGCTAGGGCTGGGAATGGGGTGGGGTGCGATAGGAGATACTTCCAACTGGGATAAATCTCAGTTGTCTGGCTTTATGACTGCTGGTACCATGCATGAAGTCAGTTTCAGACAAGAGAGTCCAGACAGATTTAGTGCACAGTCACAATACCCTTCCTGTCCTCCATGGCTCCCTGGTGATGGTGTCTCTCCTCCCTTCACAAAGTTCTAGAAAGCATCGTCTGCATTTGTGTCTCCCTGTGCTGCTGGACCTTTGGCTGTGACCTTATCCCCCACCCCACAATTTTGGGATTTCTTGTGACTCCGTCACACTGTCACTCTGCTTCCTTACCCTGCTTAAAGATCTGGTCTTTACCTCACCCTCACTCCTCCACCCACTGTGGTCTGATTCTATGCCTGCGGCAGACTCTTCTCTCTTCCTCCTTGCTGAAAGGATCCTGGGGCTGTTCAGCTTTCACGACGGCCAAGTGCCCAGAGAGAAGCCCCGCCCCCGCTCCCGGGGGGGATGTCTTTTTAGATCAAACCAATCACGGTGATGCCCGTGATTTGGTTTAGGGAGACGCAGGTGACTCGTTTATGATCAGTGAGACCTGAGGGGGAGGTGGTGGTGGTGGTTATGGGCGGGGGGTGGGGGGGTAGGGGGTTGGGAAGCAGCTGGGAAAGTTGCTAGGAAACTTTATGTCCAATAACAAAGGACACGCAAGGAAGCACATCGTCATCTTCTGCCTTTGAATCTTGTTTGTGGAAACATGTAATGACCGGAGCTATGGCAGGCATCTTGTGATCATGAGGGGACAAGCCTGAGGAAGAAAGCCAGCACACAGAGAGGATGGCAAGGACCTGGTTCTCCATGAAGCTGTCGAGAAAGAACCCACTCTGGAGCTGTCCCAACTTCTGGTTGTCTTGTTACACGGGGTCATAAATTCCTTAGTATTATTATTATTTTTTAAATAAAGTCCTTACTGTTTAAGCCATCTTTGATTGTTTAGTATGCTACCCACAGCTCGCACTGTGCTCACTGGTAAATTCTGTGCTCTGCTGAGCACTCTTCTACTGCGCTGCCAATAGCCAGGGCTCCCCTGTACAAGCACCACATCTAAGACGTCATGCGTTTATTATTTATTGTAACAATTTTCCTACAGATGGCAGTAAAGTGTTTTGTTCCAATAAAATCAGTGTGTTACGATAGTTTTCTCATAGACGTAAACTACCTTGAGGGAGGGGCTCCTTTTTCTCATTCACACCGGCGCCCCGTCTTGCCCCGGTTGTTAAAGCTCTCACCACTTGCCCTTCCAGCCTCTCAGCAGCAGCCGGTGGCACCGGATGTTCCTCTGCTTCGTGATACGCTTTCAGTCGTCGGCTTCCATGAGCTCGCAGCGGTCCGCCTTTCCTCCTCTCTTTCCAGCCATCCTCTGTCGGTCTACAGTGTTCCCCAAGCTCTCGCCCCGGGCCCCCCTTCTTCTTCCACGGCACGCCTCCTGGGCAACCTCATGTGTCCCTGTGGCTTCGATTGCCACATCTCGATTACATCTCGCCCCCTTTCCGCTCCGCGCTGTAGCCACGTCATCCACCGTCTGCCCCCCGCGGTCTCTCCCGGGGGTAATTCACAGGCGCCGCCAGCTCGACACGGCCCTCCCACTCATCATCTCCGTCCTCCACCCCATGGAAACAGCTCCTGCTCCGCTCTTCCCTCCGTACCCTCGGTCCCTGGCACTGGATGTGTGGGAGGCATCCATGAACCTTACTTCCTCTTCCCCCTTATCCAAGACACGACCAGATGCCAGATTCTGGCTCTCGAATCTCCCTGAACCCATCTCCTTCTCGTCCCATTCCCATCACTTGCCCTTGCAGTCAGACCACCAGCACCGGCCTCGTGGAAACCCAAGTATCGTTCTTTCAGTCCTCCTCCTCTCCGCTCCCTGACCCGTTGTCCACAAGCAGTGGAACTGAACCCGGCCTGCGTCTCCACCGTCCTCAGGTGGGAGGTCAACCATCCTGGCACGGGGCTCCTCCAGAGGCCATGCCTTGCTTGCCTTTCTCTTGCCATTTGCGGTCTCTCCCTGTGCTCTGCGGAGCTGAACCCTGGGCAGACCCGGCCTCTGCCCATCACTCAGGTCACCGCCGGCCCTTCTTCTGGGGTGTTTCCCCTGATGGGCGCTGGTGCGAGCAGCCACTGCAGAAAACTGGGGGACTTGATTCTCTCGGCCTCCCCCCACCCTCAGTCTGCGCCTCCAGGGCTGAAATCGCATCACAGTTCTTAATGAGATGTCTGCTTCCTTCCCAGAAGGGACTTTACTGAGCATTTCATGGAAAGTTCTCTTTAAATAGCCAGGGCCTTAGAGTCATTTCAAAATGGGTTTTTATGTTCTGACATTCAGATAGTTCTCAACGTTTGAGATCCCTTCTTGCTGCAAGGTGGAGAATAACTCTCATCTGTTAAAAATGGTTCAGTAAAACTTGATAAGCCTTCTGTATCCAGAATACTCAGCTCCCTGCCTTTATTTTTCTCTGATGGTGTTTTTGAGAGAGGCGCTCTGTGTACATGCGTGCACGCATGTGCTCACACACGCATACATGGACACACCATTTCTCCACATAGTGATCCCCAGTGTCTGCCTGAGGAAGGGGCAGCCAGGCTCCAGCCCCAGGCTGATCGTGGAAATGTGGAAGACCAACCACTGCCCCCAACTCCAACCCCCCAAACACACATAAGCCAGCCCTGCAGAGTGAAGGGACATGGAGCCGGGGTCATCGATGGAACCCACAATGAACTATTGGATTATGAGGGAAATGCGACGTGGGGCTTCCCCAACTTGATTGGGCAGGACCAGTGCAGGGGGTTTGTCTCTCTCTTCCTCCCTTCCTCTGTTTCCAGTTGAATAAGCCTGAGAGCCAGTGGGGAGGGCAGAAGGGTGACAGGGAGGGTGGACAGACAGAAAGAGCTGTAAGCACAGCCCTGGCCTGCCCCTGGGCCCACACCCCCCTCCGCAATTGGCCTCCACCTCCAGGGAACTCAAATGTGTCTCAATCCTCTCTCCACGTGTTTCATAAATGTGGGATTATGGGATTTCCAGAGGAGCCAGGTGGGCATCCCCTGACGGACACAGGGACAGCCCAGGAAACGTTTCCTGCTTGCCGAAGAGAACCGGGGGAGGGCCGGGTTCGGCCTGATGTGCTTGTCCTTAAATGGCGGCTGAGCTACTGACGTGACAATCCGGAGCTTCCCTCTCCCCCTTTTCCCATTCGCTGCTGTGCCTTCCTCGGGGCCATCCGGCTGCAGCTCCTATTCCCTGTGGCTTGGCCCGGTGGGGGTTTCATCCCGTTTCTCTGCCTTCGTTTTGGTCTTGGTTTTCCATGGTGTGTGTGTGTGTGTGTGTGTATAATGTATGTGTGTGTGTAAAAGAGAGACAACAGATGAGACAGATGTAGGGAGAGACAGATTCATGGTGAGGGCCAGAGGCAGAGACAGGCGAGCTGGAAGACTGTGGCAGTGGGGACAGGAAAGAGACCAGCACCTCACCCAACTGCTGGAGCATGTCCTCCGCTGGCTCTGGCTCGTCATTCCTCCAGGGGCCAGAGCCGGCTCCCTTCTGCCCTCCCCACTGGCTCTCAGGCTTATTCAACTGGAAACAGAGGAAGGGAGGAAGAGAGAGACAAACCCCCTGCACTGGTCCTGCCCAATCAAGTTGGGGAAGCCCCACGTCGCATTTCCCTCATAATCCAATAGTTCATTGTGGGTTCCATCGATGACCCCGGCTCCATGTCCCTTCACTCTGCAGGGCTGGCTTATGTGTGTTTGGGGGGTTGGAGTTGGGGGCAGTGGCTGGTCTTCCACATTTCCACGATCAGCCTGGGGCTGGAGCCTGGCTGCCCCTTCCTCAGGCAGACACTGGGGATCACCATGGGGCCCCCCGAGAGCTCACCTGTGCCCCTACCCCCAGCCTCCTGGGCCCACTCCATCCCTCTGCTGGCTCAGGCCTATGCAGGAAACTCCTTTACTTCTGGCTTCAGCAGAGATGTTCTGGGATCTTTTCAAAAGGAACTTGACCAAGAACCAAGGGTGAGACAAAAGACCCAAATCCACAAAGAAATCACTCACACTTATAATGGGTAATGCTGGTACCTTTACTTCTTTGTAATCTACATTTTCCTCTCCTTTTCCTGGGGCACTCTTACTACTCAGGCTAACTATCCAGAGACCAGGAAGAAGGTGTCAAGAGACCCTTCAGGACAGGGAAGGCAGAAGGATAATACTGTGTGAAACCCCAGGAGGGCACCCCTCTTGGGTCTCCCTGGGGGTGGGAATGCAGAGAGGCCTGTCCTGTGAACACTCCCACTGAGGAGACCCAAACTCACCTGGAAGACATATGTCTGGGAGCAGAGCTTCGAGGACCAAAAGGCTTCTTCCGTCTGTAAAAGGATTCCCAGCCTGACAGATTCCTGGTCAAAAGAGATTTTACTAGAGTGTGGCTTTTATTATTTAAAAAATTTTTTTAAGTTTTTATTTAAATTTCCAGTTAGTTACCATACAGTGTAATATTAGTTTCAGGTGTACAATATAGTGACTCAACACTTCCATACAACACCTGGTGCTCATCACAAGTGCACTCCTTCATCCCCATCACCAGAGCGTGGCTTTTAGAATCAGGCGCCCAGCGGTTCAAGCCCTGCCTCTCCCACTTAGCTCTGTGACCTTGGACACATCGCTTTACCCCTAGGCCTCTATTTTCTCATCTGAAACATGGAATGATGGTGGCCTTTCCCTCACTGGGTGTGGCAGGGACCACCCGAGATGATGCACAGTACCTGACACAGAGGGAGTGCTCCCTTTATTTTGAAAAGGAGCTCTGGGCTGACCTGGGTGTTGGGGAGGAGGGAGAGCACTGAAGAAGAAGACAGGGCAGGTGAGAGATGGCTCCCCTCTCCGGGGGGCTCCTCCAGGCTGGGGGTGATGGTGAACCCATTTCTTTGCCTGGGGCGGGAGGGTGGGGGGACTGGGCTTGCTGCTATTGGAATGAGGGCAGGGAGTGGGAGAAGACGTGTGGCGCCCATCACACCAGCCTGTCTTGGCCACCATGTCCAGGCTTTCCTTTTGTAGCAGAGCAGCACGGTCTCAGTTACTCCCCTGGGGCGTTGGGTGAGCCGGCGGAGAGTTGCCCACGAATGACCAGCCTGGGCATGCCTACAGATGCACGTGCAGGAGGACTCCCTCTGCCCCACACAGACCCCCTCTGGCAGACGGCTGCGTCCGTCATGCTCAGACCCTCCCAGGAAGCCCCGCGCTCTCACACACAGTCATGCATGCGGGCGCACGCACGCTCCCAGCGTGCACTCAGGGCACACATGCTTTCTCTCCGTGTGTGTGTGTTTCACATTGTCAGCCAGAATGCTCTGGAAACCTAAGCAGAAAGGAGCGTGTGAATGTGGCCATCATCAGGGATAAATTAATCCCAGACATGTAAAGGGTTTTCTTTTTTCATTCTCAGCCCTACTGCAAATTCAATTATGACTCTCTGCCAGCTACTGAAATGAGGGGACAAGTAAGTACGTGGCTGAGCCTGGAAAATGGGGCAGGGCAGGCGACCCTTCTTGATCCACACCCTCATTTCCCTTCCCTGCTGTCCAGGATCCAGGAAAGAGTTGCAGTCATTCCTGGATCCCCCCCATGGATCGAACCTTGGGGCAGCAGCCAGGTGCCATCCGAGGACGGAGAACCGGCGGAAATCGGGCTGCGCTCAGAGCTGAACGAGGAGGTGACTGCGTGCGGGACCAGAGCATAGGCGGGCAAAGGCTCCCCGATGAGGTGAGCGGCCCTGGGGCCTGGCAAGCCCTCATGGAGCGCAGGTTCGCCCATCTAGGGAGAACAGTGCGAGTCCCAGACGCACGCCTCGACTGCGTCCGGGGGAGAGAGACTTGGCGAGGGGGCCCCGAGGCCAGCGCTATGGAGCATTGACCTTGTCCCTCTCCCTTGCCCTCCGTGGGCAAACCTCTGCTGCTGTCGCGGCTTCCAGCACAGGCCTGCGTGCCCGGAGTGCGTGCGGAGACGGCGCTGGCTGCGCCCCGCACGGAACACTTCCACGCGGCCGTGTGGGTTTCCACGCCGCTTTCGGAGCTCCGTTAACCAGGCTCTGCTCCTTGGAGCTGCACCGGCCCCCCTCAGGCCCACACCGCCAGGCGGGGCTTAGCTAGCGAGCGCACCTGGAGGTGGGGGCCCAAGACTGTCCCTGGAGCAGTCCGCTGGGGCTGGGGAATGCGAACAGCCTCTCCTTGGTGATACCCTTCTTGCGGGTTGTGGGAGCCTGGGTTCTTCCTGTCTGCCCCACACCAGGAAGGAAGTGCATCCCCTCTCAGACTGAGGGCTGGTCCTCTCCTTTTAGTCTTCTAGAGGCAAGCAGCAGGTGGGGGAATTGAGCTACTTTCAGGGGGCTTGCGGGCGTGGGGGGGAGTGGGGTGTGTTCAATTCCGCGAGAATTCCTGAAGGTCCGGTGAGGCTGGTTTTGAAAGAGGATGGGTGAATTGGCGGAGACCGGATTTTACATGAGGGAGTTGTGTGTGAGGGGGTAGTTAGGGGGTTTGAGGCTGGGTGGGAGCAGGTAGGTAGGAATGGCCCTGGGACCCTGAGCTGAGAGCTGCCTCCACCCCCCGACTGGAGGTGGGGGCTCTTCCTGCCCCTCCCCCGGGGCTTCTGGGGCCTCTTACATAACCCAGTCCTGGCCCAGGGAGAGCTGGATTTTCACAGTTCGGCTCAGGCTGCCAGAAGAATGAGAAAAATGGGCCTGAGGGGACACCTCCACCACAGAGAATAGGAGGAGGAGGCCAGGGAGGGAGGCCAGGCAGCCAGGGATGTGTGTGTGTGGGTGTGTGTGTATGGTGTGTATGCATGTGTGATGTGTGTGTGTGTGTGTGTGTGTGTGTGTGTGTGAGACAGAGACAGAGAGAGAGAAAGACAGAGGAAGAGGGGAGGCTGTCTGTGTCAGCCCCTGGTCGGTCAGTGCCAGCCTTGGGAGCCGGGGTCCCTGCCCTGAGGACTGCTGGGTGGGGGATGCTGCACTCTGTATTAGTCAGGCTGTCTCAGATGCGTGGGACTCACCTCCCACCGGGCCAGGCTCTCAGGCCTGCCGCCCCCAGGACGAGCCCATCCCTACCAGCAGCTCTCCTCTCCTGTTCCCAATGGGGTAGGGAAGCTTGGGGAGGGGGGAGGGGGAGCCCCAGCTCTTCCTTGGCCTCTGGAGTTGGCTCAGTTCAGGGGTGAGGATGAAGCTGGAGGCTGGTCAGAGGGGGAGCCCTTGACCACTGATTGCCAACTGCAAGTCAGGTGCGATACAAGGCACATTGTCACCTTTAATCCTCACCTGTGAGAAGTAGCTATTTTGAGCCCCATTTTAGAGACCAGAAAACCAAGACTCAGGCCACAGGGCTGCTGATGAAAGAAAGGCAAGTCTGGCCATGTTGACTCAGAGTGCTTGCTCTTTCCGCGCTCCCTTCCTGCCCCGCCACAGGCCCAGACCCTCCCCTGCCAAACCCCAGTCTCACAGCTGGTGACTTTCAGCTGGACCCAGAGCCCCGGCTGGGTGTGGTTGGCATGGGAATGAATCAAGGAGGGACAGTTGTGTGATTGTGCGTGGAGGTAGCGTGGGCACTCTGAAGTGTGCGCAGGCTCTGCTCTAAGCTCAGAACTCTTGCCCTTGTAAAAGTGCCCAGTCAGGGGGCCAGACAATAAACAATTACAGGTAGTAAGAAGGGAATGTGAGGAGGAAAAATAAAGCAGGGGGAGGAGATAAACCTGTCTATGGGTGGCGGGGGTTGGGTGGGGTGTGGAGTGGCCTTTTTCCATAGGGTCTGGGGAGAAACCCTCTGAAAATATGACATCAGAGTAAAACCTGGCCGAAGTGAGTGAGCCATGAAAAACCCGAGTGAGAGCGTTCCAAGCAGAGGGTACAGCAAGTGCAAAGGCCCTGAGGCAGGAAGGAGTTTGGCTTTCCGGTCTGGTCATACTGTTCACTGCCTGGGAGTTGCCTATCATCTCTTACACAGCTCATTTTCAACTCTTCCGGACCAGGGAAAGCAGTGTCTCAGCAAGTGTCATCCAGTTCATTCCTATCCCTCCCTGTGTTGCCCTTGCCAGGAATGAAGTGGGTGCCCTCACCCACTCTAGGCTAGGCTAAGTGTGGCACAGAGCCTCCTTGGCTGTCTTCTTTCCCATGATTGGCCACTTGGGGGAATGCTTCCAGTGTTCACACTCCTCACTGCCCACTCTAACCCCTGGGGGGATTCGGGCAACACGCTATTTCCAGATCGGCAAGGGTGACTATTTATTTTATTTTTAAAAATAGCTTTTATTGGTTTTTGTCTTATTACAAAAGTATTATGTTCATTACAGAAATTTGAGAGAACGACCAGCAGCAAGAAGAGAATAAAAGAGCCACTAATCCCATCACCCAGAAAGAACCACTGTTGGCACATAGGTGTCTCTAGAATTTTCCATCTGAGTACGCAATGTATGTTGGGATTTTTAAAGAACATGATCTCACTGCACACTGGGGCTTACAGCCACCATCCTGTGACTCTCCATCCACCTCGCTGAGCGTGCTGCTACAACATGGTTTTATGGTTCCAAGACAGTCTATCATGTGGATAAGCCACACTTTATGTAGCCAGGCCCGTATCGATGGACTTTAAGGTAGTCTCCTTCCTTTCTTTTTTTTCTCTTTTCTTTTGGAACATCTTGTCCACAGGGCTTTTCACTGGCCATTCTGGGAGGCTATTTTGAAGTGTCTAAGCAGTCCTTGACATACGAGGTGGGAGAAGTCTCCTCTGGTTGTCAGAGATCAGGACGGGGGTCTGGGCTGAATGACCGGGTCCCTGTTTCCTTGTTTAGGGCAGGGGCCCCTTCGGTCTCTCAGCGACCCCCAGGCAAAGGCTGAATCACTGGGAACACGGAGGAGAGAGGACTCACTAGGAGAACTAGGTTTTCCCGGCAGCTGTCCACAAACAGTGCTGCTCGTGGAGGAAGGCAATTTCTGGGCTGCCAGGCTGCCCACAAAGGCCTGGGGTGGGGTTGGGTGGGGAGGGCTGGAACCAACGGGGGTCTCCAGAGACCTCAGGAGGTGCACAACCCTTCACCGGTGTATGAGGAGAGAATATTTACAAAATTTACAAAAATTTCCCAGTATGTCATGTTCAGATCCATCCTGGACTCTTCTTAGGCCACGTGACAGATGGGTACAGGTTTTATGCCAAGTAAATAGGCGTCCTGAGGGCAGGGGTCTTAGGAGCATAACCCTTGCTTATCAGCTTCCTGTGTATTAGCTTTCCGAGTGAGCCTGGTTAAGAGGATTTACAATCACATGATGGCGATTTCACTAAACCAGCCCTCACAGAGATGGACACGGGGCTTGGAAAGACTCCTGCCCTGAAACACTGATGGGAGATAAACGAACAATGCGAACAGAAGAGGACAGCAGAGTGAGGGTAAGCTAACAAGGCAAAGCAGGAATGCCGGGCAGAGCTGACACGCATCTCCTACCCCCGCCCCACAAGGGCTCCTCGGACAAGTAGAAAAACAAGCACTTCCTTAGATCTGACAAGAAGTCAGGGATCCGAACTGAGATGTCACAAGGACTAGGAGATGGCACACATTGAAATTAGGATTTACACCTACTACCTGTACCAAAGCCGTTCTAAGTAAGCACAGAATGTGCCCTGAGAAACGAACTCATGGCAGTCGTACTGGATGTAATTCATGGAGAGAGAAATCTGTTGGGAGTGCAGGCTCTCCACTGATAGGGTTTTGCTAGTAAAGGGCCCGGAGACAGCTGTCCCAACAGCCTCCAGCACCAGGCCTGGCACGCAGCAGGGCTCTGGAAGCTTGTGTGGGGCTGACCTGTTCTTTGTGCATGTGTGTGTGTCTCTAAGAGGTTTTTATGACGGCGTAAGTGTTCCGCTCACCTCCCATATTTGGAGTACTCTCCCCTCCTCCTCCTGCCCCTTCCCCCAACTTTTCCTCTCATTTATCCTCTCCTGCCAGTGGGTGCCCCTGCCTGACCCTCATTAACTCAAAGTGTAAAAACCATTTGTCTACAGCCCCCGCTCCCCCTCCTCCCCCAGCTGGTGGCTGGGGCCAGCGCCTTCTTTCCTCCCATCGGCTGTCTGCACTCAGACCTCTGTGGTTTATGAGCTAGATTCGAATCTGCTGGGCCCCCTGGAACAGGCAGGACTTGTTAGGGGACAAGCTGGGGTCTGCTCAGAAGACCTATAAAGAGTGAGCGGTGCCCCCGGGGGAGCCCTGATCTGCCGTTCATTCCTTAGAAGCTGACAGGGACGCCTGAGGAGGCTGCACACCTCCAAGGGCTCCATCCTTAAGGACAACGCCATAGATGGCGCCCCCCGCCCTCCCCCCCCCCCCCCCCGGGCTGTGTGGGACATAAGCAGTGCAGTCATGTGTGCACATTCTGTTCACTTCTCTCCTTCCCACCCCTGCCCTAGCCTCCAGGGTAGTCCCTGCCTCGGGACCTCTGCCCCCAGCCCTCTCACCTGGAGGGGCTGACAGGGAGGAAGGGAACTCTACAGAAGTGTTTGCTACCATGTCCAAGAGGGGATGGATCAGGAAGAGAGGCTGAGGAGTGAGGCCGGCGGCCTGTGGTGGCAGACTATCCTTAAACGAAGAGGGAGCCTGCCCAGAGTGCAGTACAGGGCTCCTGGGCGCTGTGGGGTCTCCCCCCCGCCCCCGGCAGTCTCAGCAGGCTGCCCAAGGGGCCGGTTCCTGCCTTCCTTAGGGTAGCCCAGCAGGGTAGGCAGAGGTGAGCCGAGTAGGGCTGGGGGGTGTCTGTCCTCCTCTCCCATGCTGGCAGGGGCCCAGAGGAATCCAGGAGTTAGAAGTGGATCCAGGGCTTGTGGCTGGGAGCCCAGCCTGGCCCTGCACTAGAAGGAGTTTGAGTTTTCATTACTCAGGGGGAGCCACAAATTGTCTTGACGAGCGTGGTTAGGTTTATGTAACGTAAACACCCCAGCACACAGCATCTCCCTTGCGGGGAGGACAGGTGGGGGCGTCGTATGCTGGCTGCTGGAGGCACGGGGTGGGGACGAGCTGGCCTCACTTTGAGGCTGGGTAGGGGCCACCCAAGTGGGGTGCCAGGCTGGTGCAGAGTCTGAAATCCCCCCAGCAGTGCTTCACTCCCTGGCTTTAGCAACCACATCTCTTGGCTCCTTATTTAAAGGTTAACCCACACTCCACTTCCAACTGAGGGTAACTGAGCAGGTGTCCCCAGCAGGGTAACTTAGCCAAGGCTCTCTCTTCCTCCTCTACCCTTACGAGCTTCGATGGGCCAGAGCATCCCCAGGGACCTGGGGGAAGGTGGGTGGTGGTCCTTAATTAGGAGTCGGTGTGGGGGTGGGGGCTGGGCTCCACGAGTCTCTGGCTCTGTTCCAGCCCAACCGTGTCACACCGCAAGGACCTGAGTTAGTGTTGGGAGAGCAGAACTGGAGATAGATATGGTGCCCCCCTGGGCCTCTCTTAGGGAGGCTATCTTGCTCCTTGGCCCAGCACAGGCCTGACCCAGTGCTGCTCGGGTGGGCTGCCTGGGTGGCCCTCAGCTGCCATGGCCTGCCCTCCCCCCTTCCCTCCTGACTGTCCCAGCCCAGGCCCTCACTGGCCCCTGTGGTGGCTGCTCTGGGACTCACTCAAAGCCACTGCTGACCTGCCTCCCCACCCCGCCTGTGTAAAAATAGATGTTTCTACCACGGCCACCTCCGCAGCCTCAACTTTCTCCTACTTGAGCTCCTGCCAGTGCTTGCTCAGTGAGTGGAGCATGAATTGCAGGGCTGAGCCTGGCGTCAGGGCCCCGCTGAGAAGCCTAGCTGCTCCTGAATGCCCCATTGTTCCTGGAGGTGACCCTGTGTGTCCCTCCTCCAAGCCTGGGGCCTGCACCACTCACCTCCCCGTCGCTTCCCATTCCCTTTGGCTTTGTGCCAGTCCGGCCTCTCAGCTCCTTGCCCTCCACCTCGATGAGAAGGCATGGTCCCCTCCTCTATGGACGTGTGACCTGTGCATAGGGCCCTGTGCTGAGAAGGGCCCTCCCTGCCTTTGACTTAATGCTCTCCTGTCACTGCCTGAAATTCTGAATACTTTGTGAATAAGGGGCCCTGCATTTTTATTTTGTACCAGGTCCTGTGAGTTATGTAGCCAGGTCTGCTCCCTTAGGAGCCACTAGTCTGATGGGGGAGACCCAGGTCAAATGGGAGAGGCACATCCTCTCCCTTAGGGAGCCAATAGATTGGAGGAAGAGGCATATACTGTCCAAAGGGCAGACCAGGCCAATGTGGGAGACATAATACTTGCTCTCAGGGAGCCTCAGGCCACTAGCCCCTGAGCTTGAAGAGACCTAAGATTAATGGAGAAGGCAGTGCCTTTGGAGGACACGTATTCCGAGGGGGGAGGTGAAGACTCCATAGTCAAATGGTGGAGGCACAGCCCCTCCATGGAGACCCTCAGAACCTCTGGCAAAGATCACAGAGACGTGAGCAGCAGGGTCGGCCCCAGCTGAGACTCAAGGGCATTCAGGTGGGCATGCGGGATCCGACCAAGAACAGGGCAGGGGACCCCGGGGCAGGTGCTGATTCCTATGGGAGCTGGGGAGGGGGAGAGCTTGGGTCCTGGCAGGACAGGAGGGGAGCTGATGGAGAGGAAGGCAGTGGTGCTGATGCTGGGCATGGTGCAAGCTGCCTGGTGGGCAGCAGGGCCGTCCCAGGAGGGGTTGGAGGGATTTTTCTGAGGGCTTCCGGCAGAACAGCAGAGCTTGGATGCTCCTGAGGATGGCAGTCCCAGAACAGCATGAACAGCAGTGTTCTCCATGCTGGGGATGGGGTGAAGAAGTCAGCAGAGGCCGGGAGCATGGCAAGCCCCAGGGGGCTAGAACCATAGAGGCCCTGGGACCCACTGAATTTCCTGGGGGCACATAGGGGTGAGGGGGCTCACTGGGGTACTGTAGGAGGAGGAATGCTAATTAGTGACTGGGAGCAGGGCTACCTGCCTCGCAGGTCCCAGGGAAAGCAAGTAAATGGCAGGAGCTCTACCCTGGCCCTTGAGGGCCAAGTGATGACCACAGAACACAAGAAGGCATCCCTAGGAGGGGGGAGGCTTCCTGGCAGAGGTGGCCCAGGGGGTTGGACTTTTGGAGCTCTGAGAATGCCTCTGCCTGCCCCCAGAGCTCTGTTTCTTTAGGGGTGGGTGTGCATTGCCCTCTCCAGGCTCCTGGTTTACCATGACCCCCATGGGAAGCCCACATGAGGAGAGGTCTTTCCGGTCCCCCTCACCTCCTGAGTTGCTGACGTGCTCATGGGCAGAGACCGATGGCAGAGAGGGTGAGCCGTGGTATCTGTGTGAGGTCAGTGCTTTGCCTTGGAGAGCACCCCTCCTCACTGAGAGCCTGGCTGGAGAGTGCTGGCTTGTCTCTCGCAGCTTCTTTGGCCTGGCCAGGGCAGCCAGACCTGGGGGATGCTTCTCATGGTGTTCCCACCAGGCAGGATCCCGGGATCCTGGGAGCACATGGAATCCCACCCGGGGCTGTGTCCGTAGAGCTGTTCTGCCCCTGGACAGCCCACCGGCCGGCCGGCTCCCCAGGGAAGTCTGTGAGAGGCCCTCCTGGGGAAGGCACGTGGGCGGCCACTGGGGCTACAAAGCTTCTCAGCCATAGCCCGTCAGACCCTACCCTTCTGGGGAGAGAGCAGCACCCCGCTCCCAGTGCATCTAGGCCAACCCCCCGAGGCCAGAGGCAGCAAGGAAGTGGCCTAAACCTGCACAGCCAAGCGGGGGAGAGAGAACACAGGACTTCATGCGTCGGGCCCCCAGCTGCCGGTTGGTCTGAGCGCCACCACCGCATTCTTGTCGTCATTCGGTCATTCGGTTAGCAAGCGCCCCCAGAGGGTGTGCTGAGCTCAGAAGCTTGCGTAAGGAGGGCAGACAAGCGAGGCAGATTCTGCCTTGGCCTTCAGGGAAGCAGATAGATCTGCTCAGGCAGGTGCCCCTGTGCCCCAGAAGGCTGCTTTGGGCCAGTGGGGGCCAAGGTGTTGTGGAAGG